ATACTTGCATAAATTAATCAGAAACCAATTGAGGCAGAATAAAAGAGACAATTAAGGTCATGGAATTATAAGCTTAGATAGTTATGCTCGGAATCAACTTAATAATTTGTATCTGACCCTTTGCAAAGTCGCGTAACATACACAAAAATACAGTACAAATAGTCAAAAATACAGAAAAAATGAGTGGTCGATCAAGCTACAGCACTATTCCGCCAAGTTGTACAATAACATTCCTGACTATAAATGTACTTTGGACTGAGTGACCGAGGTTGGCGCGACGTGAGACAGCAATATGCAACGAGTTCATTTGCATTGTACCCACTGACGTGTTATCTTGTTACGTGTAGTTGTACTCATACTTGTTTTGATCTTCTACCTCGCGCTACGCTATGTTCGACTCACACACTACGATTCCCGCCATGTCAACGCCACGCGTCATTGTTCAATTATAACGGATTTTTGTTAAAACAAAACAATAGAACAGTAAACAAAGTATATTTTTACTAATTTCTATATACAATATTACTAGTAGAGGTTTATTTGCATTCTTAACTGACAACATCTTTTTTTAAATGTACAGAATACTTCCAAAACAATTTTTGGAAGTTTAGGAACTTAAAATAAATAATTCTAACTGTAGATAGAAAGTAAATACTATGTGCACATAATAATATTTTGTAAACATTAAAGTTAATTTATTCATAATTACCAAGACTGTCATGCCGACCGGCCTTGCCCGGCGTTTGTAACGTCGTCGATGGCACGTATTGTTTATGCTACCATTTTGTTGTCTGCCCAGCATTCTGTGCACATGCGCACTCTTCCCTTGACCTTAATTCCCTCGCCCTGTGATGGGAAGTACGAACGTGTTGCGTAGATTCGGCTACGCATCACAGATATCAGAACTACGCAGTAGATTGTCTCGCGCGGCATTGTTACAATTTTCAATTCGTTGGCCATATTCATACCCATTCATATTAAAATCCAGTAAAATCGTCACATAAGGTCAAACGTATGTATATTCGAAAATTTTGAATTAATTTGGTGCGGTACACTGGCGACATACGGCTCAATAAAAAATCATAATGACCAGCTATTTTTTAATTGTTTAGCTTAGTTCCGGGTATTTTGAAGTTAATGGTTACAGAAAGACCATTAAGATTATTATAATTGTAACAATACAGTACTTTTATAAAGATAAAAAGCGAAGGAAATTATAATTCTAACTTGATTATGTACATAAAAATATTCAATAGCTATTTATTTTTATAAAAATAAAACAGGTCGTTTTTTAATTAACCCATAATTACCTTAAATAGGTTGCTTATCATTTCGAGAATGTGTGTTTCATAACGATGTATCTTTAATTTGAAATTGTATAAGATATTAGCTTATAGCAATTGTTATCCGTCAATATTCAAATAAATTTTTATCGGTGTTTTATTTTCCCATATCTGAATATTGTAAGAATATAATTAATATCTATGGAGTAACTAAGAGTTATATAGATTATATGCACCAGAACTCCATCATATCACTGCGTGAAAGAGTTTTATCTAACAATAAGCGTAAATGTATTTCAATATTAAATTAATAAGTAATAAGACTATAAGTGATTGACGGGTATAAAACAATTTCGCCGTCATACCTGTGGAGTAATTCAATTAGAAATATCAATAACTGAACACTGCACATACAAAACTCCTTTAATCATGTTTGATAGTATCATACTTGTAGGTCAATTATGTGTCAGAACTAATAACTCGATAGAGCTTCTAAGTGGTCGTTAGAAGATATATTATTACTTCACGGGGGGTTATTTGTGGTCGTTAATAGAATTGTTTACGGAAACATTGCCACATTAATAACTATTTATTGCTAAAGATTAATATCGGTAATTTGTGGACAAGCGTTTGACGTTTGTTATTTTTAGTCGTTACGATATTGTTGCATGTTTAAAGGAGAAAAAGCTAAACGTTTTTCACGTCTAGACTTAATGAAGGAATCTAAACTCACTAGGTCTTTATCACGTGACATGTTAATATTAACTTACAATAGCTTTTTAATATCTAAAATTGTCTTCCTTCATCTAGAACGTAATTTAATAAGATACTATCCAACTGAATACTTTATTATTATTACATATAAATATTACTTTATTTATTTATAAAACATACATAATAATATAATTAACAATAGACAAATAAACAATAAAATAAAACAAAACATGTTGAGATTTTACAAAATTTTACCTAAATAGTTACAAAACAACAAAAAAGTAAATCGGTTAATAAAAAGAGGATAAAGAAACTGATCTGCTTTGAGTTTGCCTATTTATTATTTTATTTATTTATCTCTTTATTGTACACCATTGAAGTATTGTTTGTACCGATATTAAATACATTTCGGTATAACAATAGGCGGTATTATCGCTCACGGCGATCTTACAGACGACCTTTATACGGATATTGTCAAAAAATTAGGGTAGCCTGCGATGTACTATTACAACAAATTGAAAAAATAAATAAAAAATACTAATAATAAAACATAAGGTTACTACTATACGAGTATATATGTACGTTTACAGTATATTATACATACAACTAATAAATTTCAATACATACAACATATATAAATACATACAGACAGAGGTACCTACATAAATTCCTCTATGATGCCGAGTAATGATTTGTGACTAGCCTTTTTAATATTTGCAGTGATTTGGCTTGCCTAATTGCTTCCGGTAGATTATTCCACAGTTGAACTGCTTGCAGTAAACGACTTGTCAGTAAATTGTGTGGTGTGCCTGGGCATTTTTAACTTCAAATTCTCTGACGATCTCAAGGATCTGCAATGTGAATTATGTAAAAATTCAAAACGTTCTTTGAGATAAGATGGAGTATGTGGGAAGAACAGAATACTGTATAGAATAGAAAGAATATCAACATTCCGGCCAAAGCGTCAAATTCATATTTGGCGTACGCCGAATATGAATTTGACGCAGACATTTTGGAGACCCTCAAGTTTGCTTAATTGGTCTTCGGAGAGATCTAGATAGCTATCATCACCATAGTCCAAGATGGGAAAAAGAAGAGATTGTGCTAGGGCGATTTTTGTATCGGTAGGAAGAAAGTTACGAAGTCTTCGCAGAGATCCCGCTGCAGCAAATAATTTACGACTGACCTCACCAATCTGGGGGCCCAGGACAAGAACTTATCCATATAGATTCCCAAGTTTTTGACTTTGTCACTATATGCAATAATGGACCCATCGCAATAGATAGCTGGCAGTTGTTGTAGGTCCTTACTCCATTTACATATTTGTATCAGATCCCTGTTAATGTCATTGATAGCTTCAGATAGTATAGCGGAGAAGCTTTAGTGTAATTTGGAGATCATCTGCATAAAGGTGGTAGGAAGAAAGTAAGCTATCAGTGATGTAGTTGATAAACACTGCGAAGAGTAATGGGGATAGCACGCCGCCCTGAGGTACGCCCGCAGATGTTGTGCACCGAGAGGAATAATTATTTTTAATACAAGCACGCTGCTGACTACCGTACAGGTAGCTATGAAACCAGTTAATTGCTGTTGGAGATATGTTAAGAGAGCGCAATATTCCGAGCAAGATATCAAAGTCAACGGTGTTGAAAGCGTTACTGAAATCAAGCAAAGCAAGGACCGTCAACTTTCCTTCCTCCGTATTGGACCTGATATCCTCAGTAATATGAATAAGAGCTGTGGTAATACTGTGGCCGTAGTAGTAGTATTTTATAGATTTTGAAGCTTTTGTATCGTAAGGGCTAAAGCGCCATATTTGCTATGCAGTGGTTAAAGGCTTAAATAAAAATCAACATCGTGGACCTCAACTGAAATTAATTTCGCTAGTAGAGTACATACACAACTAGAATATTTCGTATATAGATAATAAAATTAAAATAAATGTCAGTGCTTGTCGCATTCTGCGTGGTTTTATTGGAATTTATAGTTCTTAAAACGATTACATCAAGTTAAAAAAAAAAACGTTTTTTAAGACATTTGTAGGAGTCGTGTGTAAGTTTAATTAGTCGCGTACGGCATTGTTGAAATATAAATGTATTTTGTTAAAAACACATTTAATTAAATTAGGCATTAATAATTTCCGTTTAAACTAATAAAGTAAAAAAAAATACAATTGGGCAGTATTTGCCGAATACCTAACGACGAGTATTTTGCTTTAAACACTATGGTCGGTTATTAAAATTAATGATTCAACTACCTCAACTTTTGCATTGATATATTACTTAAGATTGGATCGTAAACATTCACACACATACTTATTCTGTTCCAACAAACTTGTTATAGGTAGGGAAAATAAAAAGCATATTGTATCGTTCGTGTTAATCCGGTTCTAGCTGTCATCCAATTAACAATCCATTCATCGTCATCCATCCAACTAACGTATAATTAGAATGTTTGGAATATAGGTAGTAACCCAAGATCCCATGGCCGGCATAATTTTGCCAAAATTAAAAATCCTTGATGTACACTTGCCAATAGGAAAGATCCCTGTCTTTAGAAGGTACGAATAGCAAGATTTTGATTCATCATCATCATCATCATCAGCCTATCGCAGTCCACTGCTGGACATAGGCCTCTCCCATTGCACGCTTCTTAGATCGATTTTGATTAATGAACTGATTTAAAGAGTCACTTTGTGATCAGGGCCAAAGCAACCTATTTCAAACATTTAAAGGCAGGAAAGATGCTATTGATGCTTATTTGTTCTATCTTATTTCACTGTTGGTTTAATTAAATTCATTGTTCAACAACAGTAAGAATTGTAGTATAAGGCTAATAATCTTAATTGTTATGTGGTTTGTGATACAACTATACTTATGATGAACTTGTGTCATCTCTTTTTTTGGCTTGTTAATCTAACGAAAGCGCTCTCGGCCCAGACGTATCTACTTATAAACTGATTTCGATATCTGACTTTTAATATATTATTTTTCATTGTTTCAGTATGCCCTTCAATGGACATAAGGAATTACCCGGAGCACATCTCGAGGCTGAAAGGTTGCCAAGTTATCGAAGGCCAGCTCAGCATCGTGCTTATGGAACGTGCCACTCCCAAGGTCTTCGAGAACATAAGCTTTCCAGAACTGAGAGAGGTCACCGATTATATTATAATTTATAGGTAAAAATTATAAACAAATCAAAACTTATTAGTAAGTTTTTAATTTGGATTAATTCATATACTTAGTTATGTTTTATTTAGAGGGGTTTTACAATAAGAGCTCTTGATTTGAAATAAAAGAAGTTAAGTGATATTAAAACATTTTTTTAATCTACGGTGTATAAATACGACCAATTGGATAAAGTGTAAACCAAATTTGTTCTACCAACATCATGGATTGTTACTAAGCATGCCATGGAGCGGCTAATATTCCATAAATAAATAAATAAGCCTGATTATTGTAGGTAGGTGGTGGTCGGAAACCAATTTTTCCAACATTTTGGCAACGAATAATAATAAAAAAAATCTAATACAACAAATTCAACGCTTTGATGTTAGAATGATAATTGTTGTCATGTTTGTGATGGGATTTAATTATTCTTATCGATTCGTCAATTTATACTCCCCACACCCACCACAAATTAGATGAAGCGCTAATTTTAACACTTAATGCGTAGTTGACCCTGTGTTTTTCAATAGTTATCTAACCATATAAATGCTCCTATATAACCTAAAAAATAATTATTTAGATTTAATATCTAATGTAAATTATTTCTATCAAGATTGACATCATGTCCACGAAGAAGGCCACAATACACTGTCAAGTCGAGTCGCTCTTATTGTAAAAACAAAGAGAAAAAATCAAGTTACATATTAATTATGTTTCAATTATGTTATCAGTATTCTAATTAATAGAATTTAAAACTTTTTAGGACCAAAGGTGTGCAGAATTTAGGATCACTTTTCCCAAATCTCGCAGTGATACGGGGAAATCGACTATACAAGGATTTTGCTCTTGTTGTATTCGATAATGAACACCTCGAAGTAAGTGGTTTTGTTTGTGCCTTGATAAATATAATTAAACATAAGTCCTGACTATTCTATTAATATCTTAGAATGTACACAAGAATATAAATTGCATTTTCTATATCTAAACAGAGAAGAGTCGTGAATATATAGTTTTAATGAAATTATACCTGTCATATAAATATTTTTATAAAATAGAGCTGTATTATGATTGAGTAGTTTAAATATGTACGAGGCAGTATTGCCAGACATCTCAGACCGCCTTAAAGAGGTTCAGAAATGCAGATTTCCTACAATGTTAGCCTTCGTCGTTAAGCAAGTAAATGTACAAAAGAGATAGTCTTTTTTAAATAAAAATAGAATTTATTTATTGGCCATACTTAAACCAGGATAAATTGAAGTGAAAGCTACAAGAAATCAATGTTATCTGTAGTAATATTTTCAATACCAATGACTGTTAGTAGTACTGATAGTGCAGATCGTAGAGCAGTACTATTATCGTTATCACTAAGATACTAAATCACATAAAAGTAGAGTGCACTTTTTTTAGTGCAAAAAAAAAAAAACGGTTGTTAGTATCAATTTGATACTATCCCTAAAATCAGAATGATCCCTTTTCAAAATTCTGTTATACGCTTACATAATTTAATATACTATTTTAGCAGCAAGGATATATTCAAGCATTCTTCAATCAAATATAAAAAATGTTTACTGGAAACTTTGATAAATAAAACTGTTTCAGAATCAGCTTCCTATTTTTATAATGCATATTATTTTGAATGTAGACATAGACCCGTATTTGCCCCTTTCTATTGTTTAAATATACCTAATAATTAATTATGAATTTATTTATAACGTATTATTAGATTCTCTTCCTAATTTTTTATATCACGTAGCATGCGCAATTTTTCTATAACATTGTGCATAATGCTGTTGGTAGTATAATTAGCATATTTGTACATAATTATAATATGTAACTTTAAATAATTTAATATTGTACTACTGTTTGTAATCCCAAATAAATATATCTCTTTTCCCTTCAGTCTCTGGGGCTTCGTTCTTTGGTAAAGATTGTGGAGGGTGGCGTACGAATACAACAGAACGACAAACTTTGTTACGCCAACACTATCGACTGGTCGCGAATAACTTCTGAGAACGCTGTTAACATTATTAGAGTAAGTCAACATTCATTATAATAATCTACCGTCTACCGTAAGATTTCATATTCATATCGCATATTTATATAATGGTAAATATGTACTGAAATATTCACATAGAATATTGCATTAATTTTATCATTAAATGACAGACAGATTAAATATACGACGAACCATGACCATGAAATGATTGAAAAAAAAACCCTATTTATATTAAACGTAGTATACATAGATGTAAAACCAGAAACGCTGTAAATTCAATATAAATATAGTTTGTATCTAGTACCTGCCTATAATTGTTTAATTCTTGTATTTCCATAGCTGGTTAACATATTCAGTCTTAAAGTTTCATCGTAATTTCTATCTGAGTTTGTCTTCTTTTGACTAACAACCACTTGGCTCGTATTCAAATGCAGCGGTAATAAATTCATATTACAAGTTATTAAAACCCTATATTTTAATATTCATTTACTTTAATTTAAATTGGCCCAGAAATATAAATTTTTGAGATGATACTTTCCTTTTAGGAGTAGTTAATCCGTCTAATGGTTTCATCATCATCAACAGCCTTTAACAGACCACTGGAGGACATAAGCCTCTCCTTAAAGGAGGTTTTGGCCTACTACTGGTTTACATAAGTCTAATATTTCATGTAAATGTGTAATGTCTACAGCTTACATAGCATACACTCACTCACTACACAGCCATCAAGAGAGCGTATTTGTCGACATTGGTTGTCTGGACATGTCTAATATATGTAGCTCGAAGATATCCTCGCGTATTACTGTTTCTTATTAAATCCGGTCTGGTCATGGTTTTGTAAGCGTGAGATTTATTCATTATTAGTTCCGCCACGAAGCCTGTTTACTTGTACAATATACACATAGGAATTTATTATTATCGTCGATACCTTTCATTAAAAAAAAATAAAGCCATTCAAAAAAATAAGCAAGTCGCTGGTATGAAACGAAGGGACAGCCTCAAAATATTATACTTCTTTTCATTTATTTTTTGCACATAAATAATATACATATGTGTGTTTATTTCTACGTTCACCATTATTTGGAATCTTCTGTAAGTAATAGTGAATGTTTTTCTCATTTATACTAAATTAATTGTACTCGGAAATATAACGAAAAAATTTTGACAAAGGTTCCACCCATGTAGACAATTTAGTGTACTGATAGATTCGGCTTAGGATTTTTTTTACGTGTGGAGACCCCCTCGGGCCCTGACATACACACACTGGCCCGCCGCAACCCTACAGGGGTTTGGGTTTGTTTCGGGACACGAACACACACTGCATCGGAATAGAACCGACTAAAACCACACGGTGTGCCATTCTGCGCCTGAAATAGAAGGGATCGGGGGACTGCTGTTAATTAGGTCATTCGGACCGGTTTAGGATTCCTTACTTGTTTAAGTACCGGTATTTTTAGATGTTCTAAAAATATAACTAGGAGTAATATCAAATCTGTTTGTAATTGGTATTATTGTTGTAATTGCGTAAAATTGAATTAGGCCGCCTGTACTTGAATATGAAATGACTAAGGCTTGAAATATGTACGTAACCTTCTCAATGCTTAATTAACAATAAGATTGACCGAATGCATTCTTGATTCGTAGTTGAACTATGACACGCGACTGTGTGGGCTGTGCCCAAACGCACAGAGTCGAGTCGGGTCTGGTTTGGTGGAGGATCGTCGACTTCAGTGTCCGTCTGACGCATCTGGCCGTCTACTCTGTTGGAATGACAAACATTGCCAAAAGAGTGAGTATACTTTTAATAGTTCGGATAAGTTATTATATAACACTGACAAACACATCCAATTTTTGGCCTTCACAGTAACAATGACTTAATAGAATGAATATTCTATGTTGCTGGTTAGGATGTTTGTGTTGTATGTGTATTCGTATGTTTTTAATTCACTCACGCCGAAATGTATAGACAAACTTGGATGTTTTTTAAAATAGAGATGGATTTTACCCCTCTTAACGCATACATGTAATATGGAAGATGGAAGACTAGAGAAAGATATTCGTTTCAAAACTATTTGTTTAACAAACAAATAGTTTTGAAACGAATGACCAGAACTTGGACTGTTCAAAGGATATGAGTGCTCAAACTAGAAACCTTGAAGGCTGTTTTCTCTTCAAAATTGTAAAATAAATACTTGAGTCTAAAGTATTTTATATACCTAACGTATTTTCAGTAAAACTACATCATATTGTGTCTAATATTTTTTTTTTTTACAGTATGTCCTGGATGTGGTGACCATGGCTGTCTGGATAATGGTACCTGTTGTAATACATCGTGCTTGGGTGGCTGCGATGGAATTACGGAAAAAGATTGTTATGCCTGTCACGGGTACTCTTTGGGATATGGCAAAGATCGGAAATGCGTGACTTCTTGCCCCGCTAATACTTATAGGGTAAACTTTTCTTTTCATGTCTCTATATTAAACTTAAACTTATTATCCCATGGGCATTATTGTATACTAATTGATAGAAATTTATTTGTATATTTCGAAAGCACTATATCTAAGTTCATTTATTCAAAACTTCAGGTATTGATTGAAAGACTTTCAACTTTGTATCAAATTTGTCTAAAACTTTTCAAACAACTTTTATAACAAATAAACTAGCAAAGTTCAACGAAATCCTGTATATATCGGCATAATTGATAAATGTTTTCTTGAACACAGTTGGCTAGCCGCTGCGTGACGGAGGAACAATGCCGTAAAACACCAGCTCCGTCCGACGCAAGCAGAGCAGCGACAAAGGAAAAGGAGAGAGGAACATACAAAATATCGGGGAGGGACTGCGTTTATACTTGTCCCATTGGGTACATGGAGGTAAACTATAAAAAAATTACGAATATATGTATTTATAAATTCAAGTAACGGTCTTCAATTAAAAAAATCGTATCTGCTACAATTGATAATAAATCTAACACACATACCTGAACACTCTAATGCCTATATCCTGAAGGAGCAGGCAGAGACGTATTAAACGCCCTCTAGCAAATAGAGAAAGAGACTTCCTATGCATCATAGTGACTCTTATCAATGAATGAGAAGAGGTGGTTACCATACGAATCATGTCCTTTGTTTTAACCAAAAAAATTGCGAATTTGTGTTATGCGAAATTTTATTTTGCGCCGACCTGAGCAACTGTTAAAAAGTTAAGGTTTAGTGATCTCGTTGTCGATATTCCGAAGAATAGGATTCCGTACAAATATGTTTTACAGATATTAGTTTCAAATATTATTTATAGAAAGGCAGCGCAGGGAATGCGACATGTCAGCCTTGTCCACCATCAGGCTGTAACAAAGTATGTTCGGGAGGGAAGATTGACTCCGTTGCATCTGCCGAACAGTTCCGTGGATGTACACATATAAACGGCAAATTAGAAATTTCCATTCGTAATTCGGGGGGTAAGTACCTACAATTTTTACACCAACTAGTAAACAAGGCGGCTGATAGTGTGCACTAAATTAAAATGTAAGCCATCTCAGAAACTCTGACTCGGGGTCTGTAGTTATAATAATAATACTTTATTTACGCAAAGATATACCTATTTGAATACACAGTTAATGAGAACTTACAAATTGTGTATTTGAGATGTGGAACTCTGCCCCTTAAACTGGGTGAATAGGCTTGTGTCCATTAAGAATAAATATAATGGATAGGGGTTTATAATGATTAATTATATTATGGAGAAAATAACAAACAATTTTAATTATTAAAAGCGTTAAAGATTAATAATATTTTTAAAAAATAAATTTCGTAAAATGAAACCTTTAGTCACGTGACAGTGAACACCAATCAGAAAGCGTTACGTCACGCCGTGCGAAACTCCAATCTTGTCTTTGACGTTTCGAGTATCACTACCGGTTCTTGATAAAATTTTGGTTTTTAACAATTAATATCAAGTTGATACAGTTTTTGCTAATTATAATTTGAAAGAATTAACCATGGAATCTGGATTGGAGAACAACTTGGAGTACAACTTTCTTTTGATTCATTTAGACACTCTTCTATTATCATCTTTCTTTGTTTTTTTAGAATATATGGCCGTTCTGTACTGCTGCATGTTCGTTTTCTTCTGTCTTCTTGACATCCAAATTTACTTGGCATACAACCTGGTTTCATGCGCACTTGTGATACTGTTCCCTTCATATGATACTCCATATAATTAATCATATCATTTGGCAACTAGAATAATAAAAAGAGTATGTTTGTAACATTATTTAGAAAACTAAAATAAAACGTTCACTCCTAAAAGTGAAACAACTTAACCTGAACTCATGTATTTATTATTTAGAAAATAGGGATTCTACAAAACACATCTAGTTTGCTCGAATTAAGTTATAGATTGTATTGTGTGAAATACTTATATCAAAATGATCTTCACAAAAATACATTCTTGAACCTATTGATAAAGTATGAGCATCATCTCTTCTTGCAAGTTTTAGCCACTTTTTCCGTATTTCTCCATTGTTTGGAACATATGTAAATAACTTGTTTGGCGTTTTTATAGTCGTGCTATCACACTGGGGCACTATACAGTACTTATAATATGACACTACTTATAATATGACACAACATACAGTACTTATAATATGACTATACAGTACTTATAAATTCATTTTTAAACGATAAAAACTAGCTATAACGTACGAAGACACGATCGCTCTTTGGTTTGTTTCGCACGTCATTCAAGACGCCATGACAGTCTTGTGCGTTTTGGAACCAAATTGAAATTGGTTTTTTAAAACGCGAAATTTATAATGTAAACGCTCGATTAAAAATAAATAAACCTTTTTTTTCGATAAAATGCCTAATAAGCTAAAATATTAAGCAGTTATTGAAATTTTGTCAACTAGCCTATTACCTGTATCATAAGAGACAGAGGTCATTGGTTTTGGATGCTTTTTAGTCTATCTTAGCTAGTTTTCAGGTGAATAAAACTGGAAGAGGAATTTCGGCTTAGAATACAATCGTCTATGTTATTGCTAAATACTCCGTATTGGCATATTTTTGTACTAACTATTTATTTTCGGAGAGAGTGGGTGTGCGGATATAGTTCGGACGCTGTTGCCAGTCGCGCTGAGTGATCATTGTTTGATTTCAAGTACCGCTATATTTTGCAACTTTGGCGTGTAACAGATTAGAAGATATCGATGATAAAACGTAGTGACTGTTGTACAAGAAATGAGTGGTGTCACTACGAGAAAAAGTAGTTGTCTGGTTCCTGAGAAGGACACATGTTTACATTTCATCACAAGTGTTACCTGATACCTAATTGACAAAATGAAATGAAAGCCGTGGGCTAAAGCTATTAGAATATATTATATCTATGGTTTATTTACTATTGGCACAATTTTTTTGTCTATGCCACGGTATACACGGAAAACCTTGACCAAGACTTACTACCACAGTTAAATATGTGTTTATATTGCAGGTAAATTAACTGCACTGGGTGAAATCCGTGAGATCACTGGCTCGCTGCAAGTTGTGCGTGCAAATCCGCTGGTTTCGTTGATGTTTCTGAAAAGCCTTAAGGTGATTCGTGGAGCCTGGGAAGAGAAAGAGAAAAATAAGTGTGTAATTTCGTTTTCCTACATTTTTTAAATTAAATTGTAAATATACAAGGATTGCATAATTAATTATACTTATGAGTGATCGTCTGTCGGTCGAGTTTCGACTGTTTTCAATGTCTTTTGACCAGTATAACTTGAACAGTCATTGTATAGACTTGTACTACTAGATACATAGTTTACATACAAACTACGCAAGACAACAGCACTGCAAAGAGAAGGAAAACTTGACACTAAGGAGAGGCGTATGTCCAGCAGTGGACTACTAAAGGCTGTTGATGATGATGATACGTAGTTTTTATGTAGCCGTTAAATATATATTTTAATCTTAATCACATCACATCAGCACACATCAACAGCCTTTAATAATCTTTATAGCATTGTTAAAATGTTTAAAAAATGAATTGTTTAAAAATTTTTGCTCTCTGCACTCTTTTACATCGTTAAGTGTCCCCAATATGATGTATTTGTTAAAGAATAGCACACAAACAGTATTCTTCACGTGTTACAATATAGATTTGAACTAACCAAAGGTACTAAAACAGTAAGTTGTTAAATCAGTTTTTATAAAATACTTACATATTTCAGAGGACACGCGTTGCATATACTTAACAACCCGAACCTGGAGCTGTTATGGGATTGGAAGACACACGGCAACATTACAATCACTGGGGGTGCGCTGTTTATACATTTGAACCCAAAACTGTGCTACAACACGATTCTTCCACTTAAAAACATGACCTTTGATCCCATCTCCAACTTTACTGAACTGGAGGTGTCTGAAGAAAATAATGGAAATCAGGCGTCATGTAAGTAATCGCTAGTAACATGTAGATTTAATTTTTACGCCACTGGTTTTATTAATATTAGAACGGTGTGATAAAATTTGTAGAGCCAATATAAAAGATAAGGACGCACTCCACACATAAGTGTAGTTATTCAACGCACTCTCACTACATCAAGTGTTATGGGAGCGATTCCCACTTCTCATGAATTTGAGCTTACTTTGTGCCTTCATTTTTTTGGCAAATGAGATGACGGGGCACCTAATGGCAAGTGACTAACTTGACCCTTGCACCATTGTGGTTTAATAAAAAAGAAACACCTGATGGAAAAGACTACCGCCGCCCATGAATGAGTAGCCCACACTGAGGGTGATAGAGGAAGCTGGTACTCCTGATTTAATGGATTACTCGTAATATCATCAATTCACTAGTAGTCTTGTAATTCACTATTTCGTTCATTTTCAAATGTGAGTAATTGAAAGCCTAAACTAAAACTTTCACCTATCTAAATTGCATGTTGTACAGGTTTTGAAGACCAGTTACAATTAAGAGTGAGTCAGTTGTGTCCAACTGCGGCAGTGCTGACGTGGAACATGTACTGTCCTGACGATATTCGAACGCTGCTCGGCTACTCCGTCTACTACATCGCCACTAACGATAACGTTACGCCTTACGAACAGAGAGATGTGTGCAGCGATATGTAAGTGCAATAATATATACATTGAATATATGTATAACGATTAAGTATGTATTTACAATTATATATAACTAATCAGCATTCGCTACTTTAAGGTGACTTGACAACGTAATTCAGCAATTATCTTTAACAATTGTATGTATTTGTAAATGGCTGTGTACCCGCAAACATCCCACAAACATAATGACGACAATATTCTTAGGTCAAGCGTAGAGCGTCCTCAGTGAACTTGGGGCTTGCAGAGTAGGGATTCCGTTATTACAGTACAGGGGGGTAAAGGAGCAGTAGGATCACCTGATGATGCAACTCAAGTGTCATAGTGCGTTTAGTCCCATAATCAAGGGGAGGGTTTAGGCTCCGGTAACCTCAATTTCTTGGTGGAAAGCAACAAAAGAGCTGCTTAATATAATGCGATCATTTTCATGTGCACTTAAAGTCTTACTGGCTATATGCATTCCAGTAACGAATTTGTATGATACAGGGGGCAAACGAGCAGCAGTGTCACCTCATGGTAAGTGCCTACCGCCGCCAATGGACTGCGTTCGAGCCGGCCTAAAAATGCCGAAGCATGGCTCACCGACGCTCCCACGGTCTGAGGGTACGGCACTTATGTTCTAAGTTTTACATTTTTAAATTTCGTTTTTTAGATGGAATGTCCTCGATTTGACTATAGACGAAGCCCGTAATGGGACACGCGATGATTTTGGAAACGAGACTGATCTGTTCAGTCCCTGTCGACACATGCAGCCATCGTTTTACCCGCTCTCCCACCTGACTCCGTACACGCGTTACGCGGCCTATGTCAAGACTTATACAACGAAGCAGGAGAAGAAAGGGGCCCAAAGTTCCATCATTTACTTCACAACTTTACCAGGACGTAAGAATATTTAACATATAAAACATAAGCTGCTTGTTTGTAAAAAGGAAGTAGGCGTAGATTGGTGATTAAACTTGTGGACCTCCATTCCGGACGTGTTAGAACTATTAGTAATAATCAAGATTTTCTTATTAGTCAGCATCTAAATAGTTTTACAGATACAATAAGTTAATAGATGCAATTCCCTAATTGATGCAATTGATATTTATCCACTCTATACTAATACTTTTAATGAACAGTCATAAAATGCCTTAAGTCTTTTACATCAACAGCCTTTAATAGTCTACTGCTGGACATAAGTTGGTATATGGTTTGTATCAAGTTTTCCTTCTCTTTGCAGTGCTGTTATCCTGCGTAGTTTGTTCCCTTAGTTGGCTCCTACGACACCCACGGGATGAATAGGGGTGGCGACATTCCGTATTCTTAATCCGTCAACACACGGATAACTTACACTTCTACTACTTATACTTATGCCCTCGAAATATTTTCACTGGTACTAATATGTAAATTCATCATTGGCTATAGGGCCGAGTCCACCACGAGGCTTGTTAGTAGATGCATTAACACCACACTCGTCGAACATAAGATGGTTATCGCCGTTGATGCCGAACGGCACAATTATGTTGTATCACATAGAGGTGCAGGCTAACAGTTACAACCAACCGAAGATATTATCAGGAAACACTAACTATTGTGCAAATCGTAAGTACTTGTGAATCACAAATTATATTATATCATTATTATATATGAGAATATATATCGAGGTAATATCTTCGACTTCGACGGATGGCGTAGTTGTTTAAGCGGTCACCTCGCCGCTTCTGACTGCTCTGAGTGTCACCCACAAATTGTTTTCCAGAGTCTGTTCTTTGTGTCCGTTATATGCCTAGGATATATTAAAAGTGCGGGAATTGTCTTTAAAAAAAATTACAGACAGTAAGGTTCATAAAACTAAAGTATTGTTGTAAATATTGACCCACAATAATTTTAATGTTATTTTTTAGCAAGAACCTTGGTAAACCTGATAACGCCAGGGTCAGAGGATTCTACAGATTCTCAAAAAATGGATATAACGGGTAACGTGACCAACGGAACGTGCTCGTGCGACGAGCCAAACAAGCCAAGCACCCGCTTCAACTCGCAAGCAGAGGACGAACGTATGGAGAGCATTACATTTGAGAATGATTTACAGAATGCGGTAATTTCTTCTTAATTTTTAATATTAATGGGTTTTAAGCAGACCCAGTACACTACTGCCGTAACGCTCAGTATTTCTTACTTCTATAAGATATATAAACAAAAACATCTAAATTGAGCATTTCCAAGATATAGTATCGTTAAAAATGTGTTATTTTTCACGTTGTCATTTTACAGGTTTACAAAAAGACCGAGAGAATAAAAGTAAAAAATGTAGTTAGCAGGTTAAAGCGATCCATCGATTCTGCGTTAAATAGCAAGCTTGTTAAATTGACCGAGAACAATACTCCAAAGAAAGGACAGGTCTACATTAACACCACAGATGAAGAAGGTAAGTTTGTTTACTAAGTTTTTTACTTTATTATCATTTTATAACATACTATTAACGCACGTGGGTCTCCGTCTCCTGCCATCACACTACAAAAAGAAGTGCAAGGTTTTCTTTTATTTTCTGCTATTTTATAGATAATTCACATAAATGGAAAATAACTCTATTCTATCTAAATAACGGACACAAACTTCCTGGTTATAAAGGACACATTAAGTATGTGATATACACAACGAAAAGAAAGTCGAAAAACAAGGAAATGAAAGTCGACATTCTGATGACGACGTTTATGTTTCACTACAGTTTGCTAATCTCTTTATTCATGCTTTTCATCTCATCAATCCTCATTTCGCCCATCTAACATTCTTTCAGCTAAATGCAGTCCCAACGAGCCTAATGCTTGCATCATAAAGGATCCTGAAGGTTATTAACATAGTCTTATTTGTTTTTTTTAATTACACGGGTAATTGGTCGCTGCATGCAACTGTGTTATAAAAATCACTGTAACGGGAACCAACAGTCACAATAACTTTTAACTTTTGATAAACAAAAGTCAGATTGTTACAATTTCCACCTCACGACGATTTTGGAACGACATTGGAAGAAAACAAGACTTTACTGAATGTACTGCCACTATTATTAACAATTTAGTACACATTAAAGTGTCTAAATCAACAACCCACCAACACCGTCTAAGCTAGTAGACAGACGCAGATGTAAAATGAATGCATGTAGTTCACTCAGTCCTCAAGACAGCGAACCCAAATTGACCAGTCAATTATGCATGTGGTAATTTATAGCTAAAATATTCTTGTATGGAACAACATCAACATACAACTAGCAGTATTTAAAGCGCAAAATTATGCATGGGGAAAATAATTTTACATATTATGGGAAAATTGACAATGCATGCCTGATGGATAAACAACATAGACTAGGTTTTTTTTATTAATTAAGAAATGTGTACAAAAACGTGTATGACGAAAAATCTTTAATAATCATACATCCAGCAAACATCAACATTAAAATACTATCAAAATAATAATGATGCAGAATCAAGCAATCATATATATCATATCTTATGCTAGTATGCAGGAACCATCTCGGGATCCATCCTAACCATATTCATATAATACAATTAAAATCGGTGTCGGTGACGCTACCAAGAAATCGGTCTGGAATCGGTCAACATTTATAAGAAAAACAACGAACCAAATTAAGAGGTTTTGGCTCACTTTTAAAAATAAGTAATATTCAATAAAAAACTAAGAATAAGGTGTCTGTCGGCATTTTGCCTTAAAAATAACTTTGTTCATACAGTACTCTAACATCTAACGTTGACTGACGAAAATTGAATCGGTAATCTGCTAGTCTAAGTAATACTTTACTATTTCACTACGAAAATGAAATACCTATGAATACCTTTTATGACAGTTGTGAGATCGAAAGTGGATCGGAACTGAATTGAGACCGAACTTTTATTACGAGAATTGGCCTTCTGGTAACCTGGTGGTAAGTGACTACCGCTGCCCATGGACAACTAAAGAGCCACAAGTGCGTTATCGCCCTTTGAGGGTTCCCCCACCCCTTCAGATTTCTTGCCGCCTATTTAGGTGGAGAAGGTGTGTTGGGCTCCGGAAACCTAATTCACTCGGTTAAAAGCAAGCAAGTAATTACTTGACACCGGTTTTCTCCAAGGTTCTTTCCTTTCATTTGTGCCGAAGCATGGCTCGCCCACGATTAGGTAATATTGTTTTAGCCACATCATCATCATCAGCATATCGCAGTCCACTGCTGGACATAGGCATCTCCCATTGCACGCCACTTCAATCGATTTTCGGCTTCTCGCATCCAACTCCACATATCAGTATTTAACTTCTAACACACAATAGGGTTGTGGACATAAATCACATTTTTTGTGGATATAAAGCTATAATTAGTACATTAACAGTCAACACATTTTTTACTAGTGAAATAGTTTTTTTTTTTTGTGTTAAATAAGGGCCCAACTAAAATCAAAACAGTGCCGAAAAATCTCTCTATTAATAATAAATAGTTACTCCCTTTACCAGAAGTACTAAAAACTGATTAAGTTCAAGTCTCATATGCTAGCCTATAAGTGAGTGCCTTGGGCTCTTTGTTATGATAATTCACTAATTCAATATCCAAAGCTTAATTACTCTTTCAATGTTGCCACTGCAACTTATTTATTCATGATTTGATTATACATACAGTTCATTCTCGATGATTTCTTGCGCCGACAGCTTTAATTCCCCTTACTTAAAACTCATCTTAAATACTCGTATAATAGTAGATCTTATTTTATTTATTTTCTGTGTGGACTTGCTAGTACAAAGTGGTTGTCTAATAGGATATGTGAGGTCCGTCTACTTCGACCTGAGTGGCAATACTACGACGCTAACGGTGAACAACATGCGCCATTTCACTTGGTACACGGTCAATATATGGGCCTGCCGAGCACAGCATGTCAACGAGAGCACAGATGCGTATGATCTCACCTGGTGCTCTGACCGAACGTACAACACCTTCCGCACTTCACAACGAGGTAAGCAAAGTTTTTTTTTTATCCTATAGGGGGCAAACGAGCTGAGGCAAACAAGCTGACCTGTCACCTGATGGTAAGTGACTACCGACTAGACCATGGACATATGCAACTCGAGGGTCACAAGTGGTAACCTCTCAGCCTAACCCACTCGGTGAAAAGTAAAATGGGAGATCTGTTTAACACCGGTTTTCTGTGAGGCCGTTGTATCACTCCGGTCGAGTCGGCCCTTTTTTGGTTCTATCACGTCTATCTATCATAAATTTCAGCCTTTATTATTCCACTGCTCTACATAGGTCTCTCCTTAGAAAGGAGGTCTAGGCCTGCTATACCAAGCTGGCCAGACGGGGTGATAAAGGGTTTGTATCAAGTTTTCCTTCTCTTGACAGTACTGTTGTCCTGCGTAGTTTGCTCTTATGGGAGCCGACCAAGCTCGGCTCTTACGACACTCACGGGATGAATAGGAGTGGTGCCACTTCGTATTTTTAAGCCATCACCACACGGATTTTAAATTTATGAGTGGTTATGAATATAAATTGTATTACAGTGGATGTGGATGTAGTAAGCAACTTGCGTGCCGAAGTGGTGGTGTCGAACAAAACACTTGGGGAAGTGAACGTGACGTGGAAGCCGCCGGAAAACCCCAACGGATTCGTCGTAGCGTACACTGTGCACTACTCGCGCATTGAAGATAATGGACAAGTTAGTCAAAACACAACTAAATTAAATGACATGCTAGTTCTAGATATGTACATAAGTCCTTAATACTGTAAACTGCAGCCATTTCATTTTTTTGACTAATTAATGAGTGGAATAACATGAAGTCCTTATAAACATATAATAATTGAAGAGATATCTTTGTATTCATATAAGGTTTTTAATTTATTTGTAGAAAATGTAGCCGTTTTTGCATAATTTGTGTGATACTGATTCATGTGTCAGAGGTTGTGGGTTCGATTCCCACCCAGGATAAATAATTGTGTGATCAGCGCGACCATTGTTCTGTGTGTAATTTATGTACAGTGTTTAGAAATATATAAGTATGTTTATCAGCAGTCTGATTACCATAGCAAAGGCTCTGCCTAGTTTGAGACTAGACGGCAGTGTGTGAGATGTGTCAATGAGACAATTATACGGTGAATCTGGTTAGTCCATCCATACTTGCGTCCATTCTATTATAAATGTGAAAGTGTGTCTGTCTGTCTGTCCATCTGGATGTCTGTTATCTCTTCACTCTTAAACCGCTGAACCGATTTAGATGACATGATATAGAGATAGTTTGAGTCCCGGGAAAAGACATAGGATGGTTTTTGTCCCAGAAATAATCCTTTAAGGGGGTGAAAAGGGGGGTGGAAGTTTGTATGGGGAATTAATAACCGCTAAAGTGATTTTGTATGGAGATAGTTTGATTCTGGAGAAAGCACATAGTACTTTTTAACGCAATAACCGAAATACACGCGGGCGGAGCCGCGGGAAAAAGCTAGTAGTTTATATGTACCAAACGACTAGGAATTTGCATAATGAAGGGTAAACATGATGGTAAATATAAATAAAGCTTATATTTATAAAGCGACCGTCAAATAAAATTAATTTCAGTTGATCCGTAATATTTGATTTTCAGAATTCAGATGTAGGTCTGCAAAGCTGTTTAACGGCGGCCGATTACGAGGCTAACGGACGATCGTACACGTTACGTAGTCTCGCACCCGGTAATTACAGCGTCGAAGTCACTCCTATCACCGTCGCCGGCGCAGGAAACGTTTCCACTGTAGTTCCTCTAATCGTTATACCGGTAAGACATCTTTGTGTTTGTGTTATACTCTAGTCCATTTGTATTAAGAAAATAGTGACGCATTGATCAAGCCAATGTCATACACAAATAATAGTTTGTACCTCTTTAATTGTATGTTTTAGCTATCTCGGATCTCCCTTACACTTACGAGTATGTGAATGTGAGGCATGTTGTGTGTAAGAAACACAAACGAGAATAAATATTTTCTTCTAAAACGATTACCTGTAGTACTTATTTATGTTTATTTATTCATGTTTGTATGTCTTAATGTTACGTAAATAGAAATATATTTGTTTTAGGAGAGAATTGCCGACTCTGGTGCTGAATGGATTTGGGGTGTAGTGGGGGGTTGTCTAATAATGATCCTGTTTCTGGCCGGAGCAATTTGGTATATTCGCCGCGGACTTTTATCGACCGCTGAAGCCAATAAACTCTTCGCAAGCGTCAACCCTGAGTATGTGTCCACTGTGTATGTTCCTGATGAGTGGGAGGTACCGCGGACAAATATCGAGTTCGTCAGGGAGCTTGGACAGGGTTCATTTGGAATGGTACGTCACAATATTTTTAAAATAATTTTATTATAAATTCGTTTCGTATCGTTCAAGTAGGTACAAGGTTTATGGAAAAAGTGCGATGTGCTGCTTATAATATTATTATTGGTTTTTAGGTGTACGAAGGCATTGCGAAAAATATAGAAAAAGGAAAATCGGAAATACGATGTGCTGTTAAAACTGTGAATGAACACGCAACTGAGAGGTAAAATCAAAATATAGTAGATTCATCTCTGTTCATCTCACAAATGTATTCATAATCAAAGCTCGTGCAGCTCATTAATCGTTTTGAACATTAGAACTTAGTTGTTGTCGATAATACGTTGCTCACACAAACATCGCGTTAACGTGCGAGTTGGTCCACAGGGAGCGGCAAGAGTTTTTGAACGAGGCTTCAGTGATGAAGGCGTTCGACACGTTCCACGTTGTGAGGCTGCTGGGCGTGGTGTCGCGCGACCAGCCCACGCTCGTCATCATGGAGCTCATGAGGCTCGGTGACCTTAAGACGTACCTGCGCTCGCACCGCCCCGACGTGGACTCGTCGTTGCCGCGCAAGGGGCCGCCCGTCACGCCGCCCACGCTGCAGAATATACTGCAGGTCACTGCTCTACTCATATATGTACTCCAACTCAATAGATCGATGTAGATTATAGATCGACACAGAGAGATAGATCAACATGTATTAACTACATTTTTGGAAAATGGTTGTTAATTGTTAATATTGTTTTTACCAATTCCATTTTGAAAAGCAGCCCATTGTGCCATTGTTTTATCTAAAATTTTTAGTTAAGAAATAAGAAAAGGGGCCAAATAGGCATTTAAAATTATTTATTTATTTAGTACTATATGCACAAATGGTACAATGGCGGACTTAATGCCACAGGCATTTTCTCAACGTCTACCTTAGGATGGGGCAGAAATGAGTTACTAGATTTAAAGGGCTGAAAAAAGAATGAACAAGTTAATAAGAAACTTAGACTTAGTTATAGAAAATAAAAAATTGGAATAGTTTTTACAATTATAATAATTTATTTTGAAATTCCAGATGGCTATAGAAATAGCCGACGGTATGGCTTACCTATCGGCCAAAAAATTTGTGCACCGCGACCTTGCGGCGCGCAACTGCATGGTCGCCGAGGACCTCACCGTCAAGGTGGGCGACTTCGGCATGACCAGAGACATCTACGAGACTGATTATTATAGGAAAGGCACCAAGGGCCTACTGCCGGTGCGATGGATGAGCCCCGAGAGCCTAAAGGATGGGGTAAGCTTATGCATTTTACGTTTGAAAAAATAAATAGGTAGACTATTTGTTAATTTTAGGCCCTAATTTGTCTGCGTCTATATTTTTTAGAAGATATGTAATTCATCTATTTCTTCAATCAATTTAAATATTAGCAGCTTTTTTTAAAGATTTTTAATGTTGTCAATAATAACTGGAAGTACAAAGAACGAAGATTCAGCTTAAGGCATTTCTATTAGGCATTTTCTGAAATATTTTAGGACAGTAAGAAGATGTGATAATGAGCCGGTTTTTACCGCGTTCGTGTTTGAACTTAAAAAATCGTTTTATTTGTTTTACCTAAATAACAATGGCGGGTCTCCATATAAAAAAATATTTGGGATCAAATTGCATTGAAAAAAAATATCAAAAACATTGGCTTATTTTTTAGAATCTATGTGTAAATCATTTTTGATTGGGAAAGTCTAGGTAAAGAGATATTAGCATTCGATTTTTTTAGTTACGTACTGCATTTTTTATCTGTGAACTCTTTTAAAAAGAGTCCACATGAAGAACATTAACATGAACAACATTAACATAGCTGCATAATATTTCATTTATTTTAGGAATTTATCTATGGCTATCGACTTTTTAAATTGGATTTTGTATTGTTTTACATAATTATTTGATAAATATAACTTTGTGTGCCATTTAAATAAAGAAAAGATGATAAAGAATTATTATAGTCCACTAATAGTAGTACTTTCGTAGTTTATATTTTTATGTCACTTTTAATGTGTCTGATGCATGAAATAATCATCTTATTCTTATATAATATGCATATATAATATCCAAGAAGTATATGCCTGTTCCTTAATTTATTACCTATTTCAACATGTAATGAATTATAAATTCTAAACCTAAACTAATATATTTAGCGGCGGCCTTCCGCTGCCTGTAGTGTCAGACGTTTAGTTTTTATATTTAATCATCATTTCATTTTATTCCACAGACGTCTTTTAAGAGTTTTCAAAAAACTTTAGCTTTTTTTTGAGACGCTCAAATTATACACAACTACGAATTCGCCATTGTTCTTTGATATACATTTTGCGAGAGTCTGAATTACTAGCCAAATTAATGATATAATACTTTCATTGCAATCAAGAACAAGAATATTGAAGTGCAGTTTTTTTTTTAAATAGGTACAAATTAATTTCTTTAAGGATACTTTTTAGTAAAACATATTATTGTGTATGTAAGCAATAAATAGCGCACATTCCTGACATAAACCAAGGATTCTTTAGCATAGTAATTACAATAAATTTACAGGTCTTCTCCAGTAGTACAGATGTGTGGAGTTATGGTGTCGTCTTATGGGAGATGGCGACACTAGCAATGCAGCCGTACCAGGTGAGATATGCAAACACTAGTTGTTAATACTATTAAAAAAAAAAATAAGCAATATAAATGGAAGTTGTCGGATATAAAAGTAAAGGATGACTAAAGAAAATATGAATGGCCTGCGTTAAAGAGCCACATGCTAGAAAGGTGAAGTGACTGACAAGTGATAGAGAAAAATGGAAGAAGAACATTCAGTGTGGCGATTTTAAATAAATTTGGGAAAAGGGTAAGAAGATGATGATGTTTTATTGCAAAATAATAACGTTAACATTATATTATGTATAGTTTACAACGGTACAAACCAAGAGCGTTCAACAGTTTTAGGCAAATAGACGTTTCGTATTTCAGATTCAAATGTTGTTAAGGATTACGAAACCTAAAAAATAATGTTGGTATTATCTACCGAGTTCAAAAGATGATAAGGCAAATAAATCTTTGCTATTATAGTAAAGTCGAATAGGTGAGAGTAGGATAGATGTTCGCACTCAACCAGTCCGACCGGGTGAGCCCTCCAACCTCTAATCTAATCCCACGTGATCGATATAAGATTTGTTCCATGCGCAGGGGCTGTCCAACGAGCAGGTGGTGCGGTACGTGGTGGAGGGCGGCGTGATGGAGCGGCCGGAGCATTGCCCGGACCGCCTGTACGAGCTAATGCGCGCGTGCTGGTCGCACCGCGCGGGCCTGCGGCCCACCTTCCTGCACCTCGTGGCCGACCTGGCGCAGACCGCGCAGCCGCACTTCCGCCACCGCAGCTTCTTCCACTCGCCGCAGGGCCAGGAGATGTACTCGCTGCAGCGCACCGCCATGGGTTCGTATGCTGCCTTTTATATCTTTAAACCTATTTAATAGATAGGTATTTCGGTAATCGTAAACGGTATTTAAAGTTATGAAACGATAATTATTCTGAGGAGTGAGCGTTCGGTTCGGTTCCGCAGAGGAGGAGCAGGAGCTTCCGGAGGTGAACGTGGGCGCCGTGGCGACGGGCTCGGGCTCGAACCTGTTCGGCGTGTCGGGGCGGCTGGCGTCGTGGGTGCGCGAGCTGTCGTCGGTGCAGTCGCGGCGCTCGGACGACGCGGCGGCCGAGCCGCTGCAGCCGCTGGGCGCGGCGCCGCTCATGGCGGGCTGCAACGGCACCGCGCCGCCGCCGCCCCGCTAGCGCCCCGCCCCGCCCACCGTATCTACCTCACTACGCTAAGTACCGCTCGGCCTCCGAGGTTCGTCCGACGATTCGTTTTCATATCAGGAAGTAATATTTTTGCTGGGACGATATTGAGTGAGTCGATTTGTCTCGACGTGAATCCTATAGTTTACCTCGACGTTATTATATAGTTGTAAATCGGTGTCACTTTTGACATAGCCTATTAATGTTAAGTTTACCGTTTAGGATGTAAAGCGTGTATAGTTTTGTGTAGGCGAGAGCGTGTACAAATTATTTTTATTGTTTCCTCGCGCGTAGTTCGGTGCTCGCCGCCGACCGAGCGCGAGTTCGTTTCGAAGCGGGCGTCGCATCGCCGCGCCCGGCCCTTGTATGAGACGTCTCATGTCACTCGCTCCGATCGATATATACCGCTTAAAATACTCAAGTTGTTCGGTATACCGCTTTATATATAAACAGGTCATATTGTTCGCTCCCTGTGTTTTGACTTGTTGTTTGGTTGTAAACCACCAAAGATTTGGAAAATAATCATCTAAATATTGCTGTTAATCTTTCGTTGGAGCTGTTGCTTTTGCTGCGAAATTTACAAAAGTAATCACATAACTGTATGTATATACAATATTATTTAAAATTAGTTGACTGGCTTGAGTAGGAGCGAGAATCGACTTCAAACAAGAGTTAACTAGTTGAGTGTTGCTGGACATACATAGGAATATATGTATAAAATATATTGCACAACCTACAAGGACAACTGTATATTTTGAGTACTTTATACGTGTGAGTACTTACTAGTACCGGTTAAGAGACTATGTTAATTTTAAATGATTATATGTGCCGCAACAATTATTGTTTAATGACAGAAATAGTGTGTGAATGTTTTCTCAGAGTATGGTATAGCAGTTACTCTCAAATTGATGTGTACCCATCGACAAAAATGCAATAGACAAATACCTGCCACTATCTTTATATAGTTTATCTTACTATTATAATTATTTTAAAGAAAATATACTTTTGAAAACCAAAGTCTAAACACAAGGGAATATGCACGCGACTCCAAATGGACAAAATATTTTTATTTGTAAACTTTATTGCTAAAAAAAGATACAAATAAAATTATTTTTGAAATTTATCATAATTTAATAGTGAAATTTAATCATCAAAAAGTGGGTTTTTAAAATTCCCAAGCAAATTTTTAAAACGCAGCGCTATTGGTGGCGTGACGTCAAATTTCACTCGACACCTTTTGTCAACAAGTTGTTTTTAGGGTTTCTGGTGATTATTATTTTGTATTGTTTTGCGGTTGTTTCATACTAGGTACATTATTAGTTTTAAAGTATTAAATCTTTGTGAAGAAAGACTTAACACAAAGACTAAAACGGTTTTTTCAAAGATGATCTGCCTAAAACAGACGTGTATGATCATAATTTTTTTAATACATATTATTATAATGCTTTTCGAATTAAAACCCAGAAATAAAATTAGAAAGGTAAATATAAATAGTTTCCTTCCCTCTTACTCTAATAAGTTAGGTAGGTATATGTTATATATAATTATTTTAAGTACTAGCCGAACATGTTTTAGAGATTATTATACACATACATACTTATATTATTGTCAACATAGTCATGAAATGTATCGTGAAAGAATAAAACAAGGTTATATTTTCGTCGAACTTTGTAAAATAAATTATCTGAGGGACATAAGGAAATATAGGTACTTTGTCAGGTGCAGTTTTGATGTTATTTTGGCACACAATATTTATAATAAACTTTTCTGTGCTTCTCCATTGTAATAAGTTGATTTTATCACTCACTTTTTTAACTTTCAGTAACTTTGTGAAACACTTTGTTGTTGACGTTGAAATATCGATAATCTGACGTCACAGAATAAGTGCGCCAAAATTGCCGCGTTTAAATCGCACGAAAATTATAGTGTTTTTTGTAATATTTTTTAGCTCAATCTTAAATAACGTTAAAAAATAAAAATAAAGACATGCATATTCCCTATTGTGCAAGGTATCAGTGGGTGTCTAGCTACAAATAAAATATCTCATAAGACTACTTTTAATAAGTTACTGAAATTATGTATTGGTTGTATGACGTGAATAAATATAAATATGATGTAAGCGTTTGGAACTTTACTGTAAAACGAGAATGTTATTATATATTCATTAACTTGTTTTGTGTTCATATCGTATTTCCATATTTGATAATTGCAGGTTCTGGTATACAAGTTCGTTGTGTCGACTGGCGACGTAATGTTAGGTTAAATATATTTAAGTACATAGTTCCTTTAATATTTTGTTTACATTGTATTGTGCAGTATATACAAATTGTTCACTTTATTAATTTTATAGATGCGATAATGTAAAATAGGTAAATTTGAACGTTCGATTTCGATCTTACACATGTTTTGTAAATGTAACCACAGACATATTACTAACGGCAGTTTACTAGTTTTAATATTGACTATGACGCTAGCTACATAATTGTAATTAACTGTAAAACTATAAACGTTAAGATGTACGCCCAACCAAAGTTAGACTCCAATTAATATACAACAGTCGTGGACACCGGAGCCCCGGTGAGAGTCGCAAGGCTCCGGTGGCCAATATAATAGCTGTAACGATAATGTGGTATAAGGGTTTAAACGAGTGCCTTCAGACATCCAGCCTTTTTTGCAATGCAGGTTTGTTGATTGTGGGAGCTGGAACCGAACACCGGACGGTGGCTGGGCCGCTCCATGTCTCACTTTGTTTCGTATCTGTACACAAGTTTATTGTTCAACGCAATTAGCTCATGCTAGAACATTTTAGCTTAAATTTACTTATTATAAAAATATATCAATTGTTTTGTTTGTAACACAATCATAAACCTGTGTCACAGGAAATCTATTCAGCTTCGTTGGCTGTGGATATGGGCGCTGAACGACGAATGGCTTACCGATAGTATTTTATATAAGGCGTCGGCCACCTTTTGTTGTGGACTGGTAGGTAGTCAAATCAGATTAAGAGTAATGTAGTGATACGTCAAGTTACGCAGAGGGCGACTGCAGCTAGTTCACTCGTTTGTGTTGTTGTGGGGGCACAAGGCACGTTGCATCACCCGTTCGAATGTTTAGTGGAAGCGAAATAATCTCTACTGAATCCGAAATATTAATATTGTTTTTTATATGATTATTGCATAGTGCCTTTTGCTCAATTATATGAGGAATGTCGTAGATAGAGGGTACCGCTAAGCGTACCATAAATATATTAGTGCTATAATTTATTCCCATTTGATGTTACTCGCAAACATTCCAGTGAAGTAGAGAGAGCCCCACCAAATTTAACACAACTGCACTGGAATGTTGTGTGACGTAACTTATAATAATGGAGTCGATTGGTTGGCGAACACGTCGCGCTCGCGTCGTATTCGTCACAGTTGCTGTACTACGGAGCGAGATGAGCCACTAGCCGCACCACCTCCCCTCCAGCGCCCGGCAGCCGGCGGTGGGGGGGAGGGGTGTTGCTCGGAGTGATGGCGGCGAAGTCTCGCACAACGTTGCCTCACACAGCGTTCCCTGCGGACTGTGCCTACTGTCGAACGACTGTTACTTGCGCTCTTATTTTTATCAGTATTTGTTTCATTGTGATTTTCACTTTACAAGGCAGTTACATTACCTCATTTTTAGTAATTATATTATGCGTAAATTATTGACTGATAAAATAATTTCCAAATGATTTATTTCCTTGTGTGAATTGTGTATGTGATTTATGTAAGTCTCGGGGTAGCGTTGTGCTATATGCTCAATTTAGATACAATTTCACCAAACGATTGATATAGTGTACAATTTTATATAATTAATTTAATGAAAACGAGTACCTATTAATAATTTTAATATTTATATTAATAAAAGTTATAAAAAATAGTAAAATATAGTTTTGAATATTATTACATCCTTCATTTCAATATTACTGCAGGTTAATCTATTCGTGATTTCTCTGAATAAAAGTGATTTCTTAATTTTCATAGTTTCATGTTTTTTTCTTTGACTATTTTTATGCCTTCACATATTATCTAAAGCTTCTACCCAGATTTCTTGACCGTTATTTTGAGAGGCCTCCTTGGTATTATGCCTGGTACTCTGCATTCACAAGGCTCTTTTTCCGTGTAGCGCTTTAACATTAATGCCAGTAGCCAGCACGCTATATCACCATTATCTTTTATTTTTTTTAGAAAACGTATGTAATGTGACGGAAGATTATGTTGTTCAGCTCCGATAATAAGGATTTGTTTGTAAGACCAGGATGGCCATCGCTCTACCGGCATTGGGTCATGATCGCCTTTAGGCAGTGGATACACTTTCCTCATATATGTACGACACATAAAATCTCCCATGTGTGGTGTATGGACTGTTACGTATTTTATAAAATAGCTTTTTTCGTCCACTTTATTCTGACTGAAAAAAAGTGAAGTAAGTATAGACATACAAATAAGCAGAGATATATGTAAATAATTAGCTATTCCTTTTTTTCAATTTTTGTTTTTTTTTATTCCTAGAGCCTTTCTTTGTAAAGTTTTAGATCAGGGATTCCTAAACTAGACCCTTTTCCAGAATGAACTCATACCCCCCTATTGGAAATCCTATCTTCTGTTTCCTATCTGTTTTTTTTTTGTATTGATACAAAATACTTACCAATTTAAAAAACTTTGCCAAAGTCTTTTCACTCCACTCCTTCACGAGAAACGGGCAGAGTTGGAGTTACTGGTTCTTGATTTCTCGAGTCTTAAGATTTCGGCCTAGTAATTGGCCCAGATACTTCATCGAGGGTTCGATGTCGATGCGAGTGCTATGAGACTGGATCCGTCAAGTGGCCCCCTCCGAGGTGCATGAAAGAACAAGGCCTCAGATTTGTACAGAGAAACCTCAAGTCCCAGCCGCCGGATCCTCACGGCGCGCCTTACCACACACGGTCACGATCACCCTAAAAGGCACCGCGGAGCACCCAATCGTAGCGACTCGGTCTTACTTGGGGAAGATGACGGCTCCGCCCCTCCTAGCGCCTGCCCTTTAAGCGCTGGCACCACCTTCGGGGATAAACTCTCATTTGAAAGACATCCGCAGACCAGGACGTAACCTGCTTGCGGTAGGCCTTCGTTTCGAGTGGAGGGGAACACCCTTACAGCTGAGACCACACTCAGGGCGGCGGAAAGGGCGCCAGCCTCGAAGCGTGTAACGGTTGACAGCGAACAATGCTCTCTGATGACTGCAATGAGCGCCCGACGCTACGTTGACCAGTGTGTGCTGAGCCGAGTTCAAACTACACTGCAGTGGTGACAGGTGTAACTCAATTCACTCCTAACGATCTACTGCCTCCCTAAGCAGATATGTTCAGAAAAGACCTGCGTCAATCAAAAAGAAAGGTCCCGTGCTGCCACCCTGCCCACTAGACGATGACCGGCTGGAGTGCCTCCACAGCGCCAAAGCCAGTATGTGGAACCTCAAAAGTCATCGTGGCTCGGTAAGCGGCCTTTACCCATAGGAGATCCGCCACCACTCTCTTAGGGTGCTAGAGGCACGTCTTATCTTTTAAAAAATTTTGCCCATGTGGGCAAAAGTTCCTTTAAAACACTAGAATCTATTAAAAATATTGCGCGCGCGCCCCTTTCTTACCCCTAGACACGTGCCTAGTTTACCTTAGGGTTAATCCGCCCCTGGCAGTATTTCTCTTTTTGAAATTGCATATTCAATGAAGTTTATAAAATCGAAATATAGGTCTTCCTTGACAATACGTCACTCATGCACTGCGTTGAGCGAAAACTAATATTGATGTTGATAGAACTGTTAAAGATTATTATGAAAAAAATATTAAATCTAAGAACAATGAATGATATACCTATAGTTTTGTCAGTGCCAGTTCTCTAAAGAATTAGACCATCTTCAACGACCCCTATTATCTCATCATGCAGTACAAAATGATGCAGAATCTAAGAGAAGTTTTAAAATTCGCTTACTCGTCAAGTGACACCATATCGCCCTTGTGAAGTCTCCATATTATGCCCCATGTATGTGCATTAGCAGTTGGTACTATCGTAGCAATTGGTCCTCCCCAGAACGGAGAGAACCTACTGAAATCCAGTCTGTAATTCTGAGGAATAGAATAGTATAAGTAATAGTAATAGTAAAAGCTCGTCTCAGAAGGAGACGCGCTCTCGCTCCATACCATGGGCATAGCTGCAATCATGGTACCAAGCGAGAGAAATCCCACTTCTCTGGCCAGGCCTCTGTTCCACCCACGTCGAGAACGGCCATCGCATCGCAGTGGTGGCACTCAGGCATTGGCTCCTTGCGGATTAGACACAGGTGATCTCCGAAGCACCCTTCGTCACCTGCGTCAGCCGCTATGAGCGGGTACCGTGTTTAATGACTGGTGAAATGGTTTCATGTAAGCTGTTTTTAGCGTAACTATTAATGTGTGGAGAAACGGGTGTCATGTCCCTCCAACACAAAGGGAGGATCTTCCGACCAGGCGAGGTGTTCATGCCTGGCGGACCGCAGCCCACCAGTTCATGTTGGGAAGTTGTATATATGCTAATCGGCGAGAGAAATGTTAATATCGCGATACAGGATTAGCAGTTACTCGTTGTTTGGTGTGTCTTCGACAGATGGCGCTGTAGTATGTTTATTTGTTTTACCGTATGTGGAAGTCGCCACATTACTCCCCTCCACGACCGGAGGTTGATATATGATAAGTCAGCTCTCTATGCTTTGTTGTGGAGCGTACCAGAACCAGTTGTGAGTATTTCCATTGAATCGGAACTGAGTGCCGCAAATTCAGGTAAGTTAGAACTGAGTCTGATGATTCCAGTAAGTCGGGGTTCCCTGCGGTGCGCGGTGTTGCGGTGAAGACCGTAGTCGGTCGGGGCGGTTGCTGCGTAGTGGTTGACTGCTGCGTAGACGGAAGAGATATGCTCTTTTTATGTGGACCGTAGGTGCAGTGTGCTGTGCCTAGACGCTGATGAGACCGTAGAGGTAATCAGGTTGGAGCGGTCTCTATCTGCAGTTGATGTTCCTGTTGTGGCCGAGGTTGTTGCCTGGCTGAAACTTGATTTCTGCTCATCGTTGTGGGACTATACATGATGGTGGCGATGGTGCTGCTGCGGATCTTCTTTGAAGGCTGCTTCTAATTACGTCGGCGCCACCAATTTGGTTTGTTAGGGTCCAAAAGAAAACCACTTGATTTTCACATTTGTTCTTTGTTTTTGCACATCACTATATACGCGTATTGCACGTCACTATGCCTTTGGCTAATGTAACATCACTCTCCGTCCTCGTTCCGCTCCCGAGACATTCTCTTATTCCCTTTACCGTCAAGTGGGACGAAACACGAACACACGGCTCGTTCAAATATTGTTTTAACAACTTAATATTAGTGCTGGTCTGTTAATTCGCATTCGCGAACTACAAATACAAAGAACAAATATATAAAATCAAGTGGTTTACTTTTGGACCTTAACAAACCAAAAATGTAAGTATAATAGAAGAACAATCTAGTAGATCATTTAACCAACACATCACATCATCACAAGCAAAACAAACAAGTAATATTATAAAAGGTTAATTGAAAATTAACATGACTAAGAAATAGCCATAGAAACATCAAAAGATATTAAAGGTTTAGCTTCTGATGCGAAATTATTAGGTGTAACCATAATAAACACTGTAAATAATCTGCCTAAATTATTCTTTTATTTTTTACGTGCTTTAACTTTACTTAAAAGGAATACGGCGCCGCCGTTTACGAACACCTCAAATTAAGGCCAGATAGATCAGTCATGTGACCAGTTAGGTACCTCTGCATTACTTCAAATAAAGTTCTGTAAACTATCTGATAGCCACCTTAAATAATTAGTTAATAATAGTTAAGTATCTACTTACGTCTAGTCGCGCTATGGTAACAAACGTTGCTGTAGGATTAAACCATTTTACTCGAAATCCTAACAAATTGGCACCATATGCGAAGTATAAAAATGTATCAGGTTTATAAATATCTTTTTTCAACATTCTGTATAGCAGTAATAACAATCGGAAGATTTTTTCAATTATTTACCATTTTTCTGTCTAACGTTATCGAAATAATAAAATAATTTTGCGCTTGGTACAAAGACAGATAAATACATTCTGTAGACTAGTGCACAGAGTAATGACTAGTGTAGACACTTACCAAAAATAATCTAAAATAACACCAAAAACAATTCTAGTTTGTTTAAGTATTTATTCGGTCACTTATCAGGGACATTATCGGTTGGTACATAAAATAGATAATAATACGTACTTACACGTAGATATCTTCCACCCTTCGAATAAGGCACTATTGATTAACGTGGGAGGAAATGAAATAGAAGCATACTTTCTGAATATATTCATTTCGTCATTCCTATAAAAAAGAAAACTTTATCTTACGATTAAATCCGTCACTAAGAATTTTTATGTTTTAATTTCATTTCATGACTTTGATAATATTATTTATTATTTTTTTAATTAATTATTTATTGAATTTTATTGTTATTTGCCATGTTCACTCAGTGTCTACAACATAGAACAGATAGTGATAGGTCACACTGATGGCATATGTAAGTATCCACACTAGCGTATTCAGCGCCCCGGGTCTGTAATGTTTGCCGCCCGCAGGCTATACAAAGCAATAAAGAGAAGAGAAAGAAACAAGACGATGACTGTCGCGAGGGAGAAGTAGGAGACGGACAAGGACGTGACCATTTCAGGGTTAATACCTTCTTCCCAATATGCGATCAATTATTCGGCAAGTTAGGGCAGCCGCCGTCCTATGACGCCGTAACCGCCAATTTTGCATTTTTGAATGTAATGTCCGAAGCAGAAGTTAGAATGAATGCCACTAAACTCCAAAGCCAGGAGGGGTCCTGATGTCTTAATAACAGCTGTTCCCGGATCTCTACTATTTCGGGCGCAGAGTGGCACACCGTGTGGTTTTACTCGGTCCGATTCCGACACACCACCTCGCCGCAAACTCCGGTGGGGTGTCATGACGGGCCGAGGGGGTTTCCACACTAAAAAAAGAGGGATGGCTTGCCCCGCTTGACGGAGCCTGCTGTCTCGGGCCACGGGTACGTATGTAGTAAACATTAGTATGTTTGGTGTTGGTTGGTAGGGTCTAATATATTTCTTGGGGATTAGTAATTTCCCTAAGTCAGCAAATAAAAAGGATTTCGGGAAACCCTCACTTGCTAGATGAATCTCCTATCTTATAAATAATATTTTAGTGCGAAATCTCGTGATTGTGCAATTGTCAATTGTTAATACATTATTCCATAGTCTAATTAAACAATGATCAATAAATCAATATTCACTATAGCGTTTGTGACTTGCAATATTAATTATCATAAAGGTTGAAGTTAATGATATTTACTGAAGACATTAATGACAGCTTGTAACCATCGAAGTAATGCCAGAACTTTTAATCGAAATTACCTATGTATTACGACTGATTTCGGCTTTCACCTCGACACGAAATAAGAAAATACAAATACTAAGTACACGGAAGTCAAGATAGGTAAAAAAAATTCACGTTTTGAATATACAGGGTTACAAGAAAAGTCGTGCTAGATCCGTTAAGGGCGTGGAGTACCCATCATTTCTGACATATTTCACTATGAAACACCCTACCCTAAACTTAACCCTTTTCGAGATAATCGTCTTTTAAATTTTTTATTGAAATTTGCTGATTTTTAGGCTACTACATTTATTTTTGTGTATCTTATTATTATTATTTTTGCATTTTAACATGTGTAATAAGATGCTTTAGGACGTCAGTCATTAAAATAGTTCATAAGTTAATTGAATAGATCGTAGTAGACAAGTGAAAGTAAAGAAATAAAAAAAAATATTAGAAAATTATTTTTCTCTAACGGATATCTAAAAACAATATTATGGTAATTGTTCGGCAGATGTTTTTTAAAATATCTACGTTTCACTGATGAAACGTTCCCGATGAAACTAAAGTTTTTTCAATGCATTTGAATAAAACCTTAGATTATTATACCTCGTTAGATAGCTGACTATCTAACGAGGTATAATAATCTAAGGTTTTTCATAGGCGACAGTGGAGAAGAAAATTTATACTTAGCCCAAAAAAGTAAAATAAAACAATAGTTAAGCATGAAATGTCATTTATTAAAGGTTTTCACACAACTTTTTCTTATTCTACAGTTCATGTTCAACATGGCCGCCTCTATTTCTGATACATTGTCACATCCTTCTACGGAGACCAGTCTTCACTACTAAAGTGGTCAACGTGGTCCTCATTTTATTTGCTGCATCCACAATCCTTTCTCGTAAGTCTTCCACAGACGAAACTGGATTCAGCTCGCTGTACACAAGACTTTTCATGCACCCCCACACATGAAAATCCATGGGGGTTAGGTCCGGACTTCTTGCTGGCCATGGCAACGGCCCACCTCGTCCTATCCATTTGTTTGGATAATTTGTGTCCAGCCAGTGCCTGACACTTCTCCTGAAATGGGCAGGGCAGCCATCGTGTTGGAACCACATGTCCCTGATCAGGTTGAGTGGCAGATCATCCAGCAAATCACTGAAGTCTGCTCTCAGGAAATTTTCGTAGCTTTCCCCATTTAGATTATCCGGGAGAAAGTAAGGTCCAATCAAATGATTGGAGAATGTGTGGATGGGCATTAGCCCATCCACACATTCACGCTGAATCTTCGTTGGGACCCTTCACTCTTTTCTTATTGGGATTCCTTAGTTCTTTTGGGGCCCAGTAATGGGCGTTGTGATAGTTAGTTATGTCATCTTTATCAAATTTGGACTCATCCGTCCACAAGATATTTCTTAGAAAATCTGGGTCTTCTACGTCAGCATTTAGCATAAATCTGCAAAAGTCCAATATTCTCGCGGGGTCTCCTTCTTCAATAACGTGTACTGGCGTGTAATGGTACGGGTATAGGCCAGCAGTATGCACTGTAAAACACACTCTCCATTGCGAAAGTCCCAGATCACGGGCAACAATATTAGTGGAAGTAGTCGGATCCGCTCGAAAGCGTTGCACTATCTCATTGTCCTGTTCTTCGTCGTCAATTCGTGGTCTTCCCATGTCTGTATTTCGTCTCATAACAGAGCCAGTTTCTCGAAGTCTTCGATAAACTCTGTCAAAAACGGCCACATCCGGCACTCGACGACCAGGGTAGCGAGTTATGTATTCGTTGCGAGCTTGCGCAGACACACAATCGCAGTATCCGTAACAAATAAGCATATCAGCATATTCCTCAGGTGTGTAGGACGTCATCTTCAACACTTCCGTATCACAGGTACAAATCAGAGTCCGGTTGACAAGCACAGTAGTCACAAATCCGAAGAAATAGTCCAGAATCACAGCCAAGTCGAGAAAAAGAGCAAAACGATATCACATCTACTATGTACGAAGCACAAAAGCAGACTGACAACTAGTGACAACCAAACAATGCCCCCTGTTGTATTCCCAGCCCTAACCGGTCTCTACACATTTTTTCTTTCATTCGCACCTACATAAATCGTCACTTGTCTCGCTCGCTTGGTGCGTCTTAACTTGAAGGATATTGTCCTTTGCGCGGGACCGTTAGAACTGTTACCTGGAGCGTCCCAACTACTTTTTTTCCACGAAATGTAATACAAACCCTAGATTGTTATACCTCGTTAGAAAGCTGATGAAACGTAGATATTTTAAAAAACATCTGCCGAACAATTACCATAATATTGTTTTTAGATATCCGTTAGAGAAAAATAATTTTCTAATAAATTTTTTTATTTCTTTACTTTCACTTGTCTACTACGATCTATTCAATTAACTTATGAACTATTTTAATGACTGACGTCCTAAAGCATCTTATTACACATGTAAAAATGCAAAAATAATAATAATAAGATACACAAAATAAACAAAAATAAATGTAGTAGCCTAAAAATCAGCAAATTTCAATAAAAAAATTAAAAGACGATTATCTCGAAAAGGGTTAAGTTTAGGGTAGGGTGTTTCATAGTGAAATATGTCAGAAATGATGGGTACTCCACGCCCTTAACGGATCTAGCACGACTTTTCTTGTAACCCTGTATTAATGTTCGAAATGCCTTTACTCTTGTAGTCTTACTAGTCACTTTAGGCATTTGAATGTTATTGTCTAGTAAATAGCATACATATTACACACATTAAGCGATCGCGCAGTCACCGCAAGAATACTTTCGCCAACCGCCTATTATAACCAAGTCTTAATTTATGTACTTAAGTATTTAACTATGTCTGGAAAATAAATTAAACAAACTATAGATCACATTATATATTTATCACAGTACGTATGTAGGCGTTAGCTCATTTTGCTTAGCTAAGCGGGCAAACAAGCTCACTTCAGACTTTAGCACTGTAGAACAGGGTTGTCAATGCGCGAATCCATTTTTTCGGAGCATTTATTTCTCGATAGAAATACAATATTACTACATATATTATATTCATGTATATAAAAAAATTATAAACCAAGTATGAACAATATTAATATCATAGTGATTGGGCTAATTTCTCAATCATTGCAGATGGTGCAACTTTTCCGTTATTGGGTATTTTTTTTAATTCTTCAACGTAATATTCTGGTAATTCGCATTCGATTGCACCTTTTACGATGCAATCTAGATATGTTATGCACGGCCTTCGTTCTTCTGGTAACTCTTTACCTTTTTCACGCTGCGGCGGATTGATAGTTTGTTGATAAGTCCGACAATTGACTTTAGAACCATCAGAAATGAGTACGTCTACTTGTTTCGGAAAGTACCAGTTGGTATCTACACCCTCTTGCCTGAAAAAACATTCAGGTATATTATTTAGCAAATCTGTCATTAATACACAGGCCGTCTAAGATAAGACTCTGAAGGCCAATTCTCGTAATAAAGGAATAGTCTCAATTCGGTTCCGATCAACAATACCTTTCATGACAGTTGTGAAATCGAAAGTTGAACGGAACTGAATTGAGACTGAATTTTTCTTGTGTTGTATGTGCCTTTGGGCGACGCTAGTCACTTACCCCCAGGTGACAATCTGCTTGTTTGCCCCCTATCATCAACAGCCTTTAATAGTCTACTGCTGGACAAAGGCCTCACCTTAGAAAGGAGGTTTCGACCTACTGTACCACGCTGGCCAGACAGGTTGGTATAGTAAGGTATGGTATTTAAAAAAATAATTAAACGTTAAAACTTGATACTTGAGGTCAAATGAAATAAAATTTAAATGTCATAAATAAAGTGTGTATAGGTTGTTACCTGTCTACCTGTTACCTGTACCTGTGTTACCTGTTGTGACTCGTTAATACTGGCTAGAGGGTCACACTTCGATGAGGTGCTTCGGCTCGCCGAGCAGGGGGTGGCTTTTGTCGTGGGAAAGATTCATGAGCTGGGTCTGAGAGTGGCGCCTCAGAAAAATGAGGCGATATGGTTCCATGGCCTGCGTAAGCGCCAGGAACCACCCAGCTCATACCTCCGGGTTGGTGACGCTGAAGTCCAGGTTGGCCGGTACATGAAGTACTTAGGCCTCATACTGGACAGTCGGTGGCGCTTCGAAGAGTATTTCGAGCGATTAGTCCCCCGAATGCGAGGGGTAGCGGGTGCGCTGCATCGCCTGCTGCCCAATCTCGGGGGACCACGGGAAGAAGTTCGCCGTCTCTACATGGGCGTCGTGCGATCCATGGTCCTCTATGGGGCGCCCGTCTGAGCTAAAGACTTGGCGGGTGCCTCCCGCTGCGGGGCTCTACTCAGAAGCCTGCAGCGGTTGATGGCCATACGGATCGTACGGGGCCATCGTACGATCTCGTTTGAGGCGGCAACGGTCCTGGCGCGATATCCACCCTTCGACATTCTGGCAGACATGGACGCGATGGTCTATGACCAAGTTCGCTCTGTCGGTCGGAATGGTGAAGGGGCCGCGCCAGATCATGATCCCGGCATGCTAAGGCGGAACGCGCTTACGAAGGCTCTGCGAACCTGGCAGGCACGGCTCGAAATCCAGGGCTGTGCTAGCCAACGCGCCGTCGGAGCCGTTCTGCCGAGCTTCGAAGCGTGGGTAGGGAGGAACGACTGTGTCACCTACCGATTGACTCAGGTGCTCACCGGGCACGGTTGCTTCGGTGAGTATCTGAATCGAATTGGACGGGAGGTCACGGCACAATGCCACCATTGCGGGTCCGACCGGGACTTCGCCCAGCATACGCTGGAAGACTGCCCTGCGTGAGAGTCCGAACGTCAAGTCTTGGTCGGACAGATCGGACGAAACCTGTCACCGCCAGCATTGATCGCGGCAATGCTGGCTAGTGGCGAGGGATGGGCAGCAGCGGTCTCTTTCTGGAGGACGTTATGCTCCAAAAGGAGGCCGCAGAGCGGGATCGGGAGAGGGCCGATCCCGCTCGAAGGAGGCGACAAAGGGGACGCGGCAGAGGTCGTTAGCTTCCCAATCGCGCCTAAGGTGCTGCCGGAGGGTGTTGTCCATGGCGCTTCCTACTGTATAGAACAGTGAAAGGCGCGGCAGCCTCCTGCCCCAGGGTGACTACAGTCACCCCGGGATGTGCCTCAGACATGGGGTACGGCAGGGAGGACTCCAGAAGCCGCTGATGCGTTCCTGGAGCTCCTCCTGACTGCCGAGGTAGGCCGCCGCGGGGTTTAGCGGGTAAAACAGTTCTCCGGGAGTCCCACACACGCCCTGCGTTTCCCCAACAGAGGGTATGGTGCGAAAAGCATTCCCCGCGTTAAAAAAAAGGTTGTTACCTGTCTAATGCTTCCATATCAGCATTATTAATTCTCCATATTGCCCCCCAAACATGAGAATCTTTTGTGGGTATAATAGTGGCAGATGTACCGCGCCAATTCTCTGAATATTTCATAAAATCAAGCTGATGGTCCTGGAAAGTTATCAACTGCATTAGTGTATAATATAACCAGTCTACAACCTTCACATCAATACACTTTTACCACAACATTAGTTCACAGATCTGGCCTTAACAAACTAGAAAATGACTAATAAAATATCTTATCCCATGAATATTGTCCATTCTTTATTTTTACCAAATTCCGAAATGAAGGGGTACCATATTCGGCTGTATGTATTTTAATATTGATTCATTACTAAGTGCTCCCCTATCATGGCAAAAAGCTTTTAAGGCTATACTCAAAAGCTTCTTGTGTTCGCAATGCCTCACTCAAAGAGTTATAATTATTTATAGACTATACAAATGATTCAACAGGCCTGTAGTGGTTAGTGACAATGACTGCTAAGCGGGAGGTCGTGGGTTCCATTCCAACCTAGGTCAAACGATTGTGTATTGAGCATAATTACTTGTTCTGTGTCTGGGTGTGGTTTATCTAAATGACTAGTTTGGGATTAGACTACTTTGTAAAGTTTTTATTATTATAGTTATGAAGGTATGATCAATAAGTGGCCCTGTTGGTTATAAGCCAGTGTCGTAACACCATAAGTATTTAATAATAGAAAAACACATATAGCATGTATTGAATACATTGACTACCCTGTACTTGTAAGTCTTTAAAAATGGAGGAGGACCTCAATAAGGTTCTATTTTTTACCCCAGAATACTGTCATTTATAGAAATTGGTACAACAAACAATTTGTGGATCACACAAGGTGTTGTCCCATGTGGAGATGAAACCCACAACACTCAGCACGGTAGGAAGCGACATAGTGCTTAAATCACTACATGATCCATGCAGTCCTTCTAATTAATGAATGAATGTTAATTTATCACCCTATCATCTCAATAGTCTACCGTTGGACATCAGGCAAGAAACCGACAAAGAAGTATTTAAGAGGAAACTTAAAAAGTTTTTTGTTGATTTTTTGTAATAGGCTACTGTTGTGTGTACCTACCAATAATAGTTTTGAAATGACTTAAATAAGAAAAATGTACGGAGACTCGATCGTCACGTCAAACCATCAACCCGGTTTTGGGGGATACAGATTGTAATATCATGGTAAAAAAAAAACAAGTTGAAGTAAAATAAATAAATAAATTTCTAATAATTAAGTGGTTAAGGGTGGAAAAAATAATGAACAATACTTTATTATATTATTGTGCATTATAATATGATGTGCACAGAAGTCATTGATATTATTTAAAAAAATATTATTTCACATTGTCAAATCTATATCATTTTATGTATTTAATTTATGCTCAATCAAGTTAAATTTAAACTAGTTATTTAACAGATATATTTAGCATCAACAATATAGGTTTCTGATTTATATCCAGATAAACTATTTATGTTTTAGTAACATAAACACAGTTCATTTGTGTAAAGATTCCTGGTTTGTTTAGAAAATTTATAGATTATTTATAAATCCAAAGAGTATTCTAACAGTAGAGTAACATTTATGTTTGCTCACATTTTATACTTACAAGAGCAATACCATTAGAGAGCTTTATGAAGTGAGGAAGTATTCTAAGCAAAGCAAGTAAGTATTAAGTTGTGCTTACGTCCAGCCGGCCGCTTCCTAAAAATTGTGCTGATGGGTTATTTATGTGAATCCTTTTTTTTAGTAAATTGCTGCCGTATGCGAAGTAAAGAAACGTATTTTCAATAGGTTTGAACATTTTCTGGCGTATTTGCGTACCAAAAACGTTAAATTAGTACTATAAAACAAATGAATTATGTAGAACGGATGTTTGTAAAATTGTAAATATATATATGTCTATTTGGATCTAGATAACATTAACATGACATGTTAAACCCACTATCTACGAATATTTGACTGTATCAAGTGTATTATTCCTAACTCCGAACCACTCCGAACTTTTTTCGTTATCATGTGACGTTGACACATTATTGACAAGAAAAATTAACTTAATCAGTGTTTCCCAATGTTGCCACTTAAGTTGCAATCGGTGCGTCAATCAAATTTAATATCTGCCAATTATTTAAAAGCTCAAAGACTAATGACTCTAATGAGACAGTGTTTACTTAATGATCAATAAGTGCGTAATTTGAGATCAGCGACTTCTACGCATTTAAAATATAAGGAGCTTATTCACAATGATCTCCATTGTGTTAATACACGTTGAAACCGTTGGAGGCCAGTTATCAATAGAAACACGCACTCTCTCGATGGGAAAATTCTTCACTGTCAATCTTATGGACTGTTTTAGGGACTCCAAATTATCATGACGTTTAGAGCATGCCATTCTCTATAAAATTGACCATGCGAGTAAATCATAATCCAGCGGATTAAGACTGTAGTCCCGAAGCGTAAGAACTCGAGATTAAACACCCACATTAATATTTTACATGCACCCAGACACATCGCGCACTATTAGTACAATACCCTGGAAACTAATCAATCTCTCGGTTTTTCGTATAAGGTAGGTATTCATCACCTCTTCGTCTTTGTAGATTGTTTATGAATGTCACAAGAAACAGTGACTGGCCGGCGACAAAAGATGTGGTCCCAGTGTGCGCTTTGTGGGTATTATGTTAAAACGATTAGTTTTTATGGATAAATCTAAGATATTGTCAAGGCAATATTCTATGTGATATGGGAAATGGGGGTTTCGCAGATGATATTTTATTTCCTATTTATTTATTTAAAAACAAGGGTATAAACAGATTAAAATAAACACAGCGATTTAGTCAAAGTATCTTTATTTCATAAAATTATTTGGTTTTTATTTGAAATCATCTCTTGTATAGACTAGTTTTCAGTGGAGATTATTGGAAGTTCTCCACAACGTTCCATCCTCGCTGGGAACTACCAGCGAGGATGGAACGTTGTAACTCAGTGGCTAAGTGACAACTTGCTAACACTCAACGTAGAAGAAACCAAAGTAATAGTTTTCTTAAGAACGCTGGATGGTACCATTTTCTCAAATAGTAATATAATTTCTCACACATGTGATAACTTCAACCACTCTACTGTACTGTACTTGCCCCAGAACCCAAAGAACCGCTTTAAATTAAATACTTAGGTATTATGGTAGACTAGAAACTCAATTTTCATTCCCATATTGATATGCTTGCAGCGCGTACACGAAAACTATTTTTTTTTTAAACCTGCGTCATGTGGCGGATTACCAGTTGATCAAATCTGTCTAATTTAGCACTTTGCCAACCGCTATTAACATATCGCATTATCACGTGGGGAGGTGCTACAAAAACCTACTTCCTTACAATTAAAATAATAATAATAATAATATTCTACCACATACACACAACGCCATCTAGTCCCGAACTAAGCAGAGCTTGTACTATGGGTACTAGACAACTGATATAAATACATATATACTTTTTTTTTGTAAATACATACATATTATACATAGCAACACCCAGACCAAATCAAACATCAAATGTTCATGCACACAAATGTTTGACTTGAGCGGGAATCGAACCCGCGACCTTTGGAATAGCAGTCCGTTACACAAACCACTACGCCATCCAGTCGTCAAGAGCTCAAAGAGCGATCTTGAAAGTAAGTCATTTTCTCCCGCTCTTTCATCCCACCACCGACCTTTATAATCTGACGTCAGTGCTGTCGGTTCGTCAGCTGTTTGTGTTGCACACCGTAGTTAAAAGAACATTCCGAAATAAAATTTGAACCAGAAAAAATACACAATGTATGCAGGAAACACAGGATTTGTGAAAAAGAACGGTTTAATACGAGTTTTCCACACTGTTTCTACTGTTACCAAAGTAGTCATCTGTACAACAAATGAAACAAAACTTTGTCAATTTATTCACAGACCAAAGATAAGTGTAAAATGTATGGTAACAGACTAGTTACAAAAAATTGCCTACAGAGCCACGGCAAAATTATTAAAGTAGTAGAAATATACGCATACAATCCAGCGCATACTTCCAACAGCCATACACACACTCACTAATAACACCCACATAGACACACGTATTTAAAAATACGCACACACGCACACAGACCCACGCTCATGCACATGTACTCACACTATTCTCCCACATGGTTTCATTCGTACAGAATTGTTCCCTTTTTTTCCCCAATTCTTCCCTTCACTGCTTTCTTCTCACGGTTCTGAAAGTTGGCCCATTAAGAGAACGGATGAGAGACGCCTGAACGTAGCCGAAATGCGAATGCTGAGATGGATGTGTGGTGTGACTCAGATGGACAAGGTTAGGAATGAGTATATACGAAGGAGTCTGAAAGTAGCGCCACTGGATGAAAAGTTAAGAAGTAATAGGTTATCTTGGTATGGACATGTCATGCGGAGGGATGAGGAAAATGTGGCGAAGAAAGTTTTAGGTATGGGAGTTGAAGGGTATAAGAGAAGAGGCAGACCGAAGAAAAGGTGGATGGACTGCGTGAGGGAGGATATGGCTAGGAAGGGAGTAAACAGTGAGATGACGCATGACAGAGTAGAATGGAAAAATCATACATACTGCGCCGACCCCAAATAAAATTAGGAAAAGGGTAGGCAGATGATGATCTTCCCTTCACTGCTTTCTTTCTTGTATATTTTTCTGTCACAAACAGAGAAAGTTTCATTGTACCTTTCAATAGCCCGGTATACTTACAAACTTTCGAATAATACCAAGCGCATGGAGTTTCAAAAATTGCGTTAGGCTCCATACCTACTTTGTGTAATGATATCACAGGAATTCGGTACCTACTCTTTATCACCCCACTCCAGTTTAATATCACAAACATATTTAACACCCGGCGTAAAATGAGAAAAAATGATGAATATTCATATAAGAATGACAGATTCCAAATTCAAATGTAATATTATAGGTTTTTTTAATTGTTACAGTGGTCAGCCAGATTAATTATTTAAAATTTTTGAAAACAAATTGTATGTTTAAATTGACTGTCTGAGCGTGTTTGCTTGGATTAATATTAGTGGAAATAAAGCACATACTCACAATGTTATAAGAGAACTTTATTGTTGTAATTACTGTATATCTATAGCAGAATTGGCAAGTACAAGTAACAAAAAGAACAGTATTTTACTAGAATAACACTAGTGAACCATTTTCACACAGTTGTGCCGAATGATATATCTATAAACTAAGAATTACAAAAACAGTGAAGTCAAGATTTGCTTTATGTTCCCAATAATAATTATTAAGGATATTTTTTTCTTTATGGTAAAGCTATTTCCAATGACAATTGACAGTTGAACTCTACTACGCGAAACAGAGAATCTTGAATTTATTTTATAAAAAAATGTAATACGATACATTATACAGGATATGTAAACGTGGCAAAGTTACGAAATCACTGTGCCTTCACACAAGTGGGTACGCATACGTACCTAGAAAATCATTTTAACAAGAACCCTGTCAATGTAGGATCTCTGACTTGCGCTCCACTAAACCATTGATAAAGACCTTATTAAAAGTACTGATTTAAATACTGTAATACATGAAAACATTTAAAAATTGCTTACACTATAGTCTCATTTGGTGCCTGAATTGATATGTCCAAGAACTAAACGCGAAATAAACGCTAACTCTGTCTAACTATTACATTTGAGTAACTAAACGAGGTATTTGTTTTGTGTCTATAGTTACACTGAACTAAATCCCGCGAAGTGCAAGTAAAAATATCTGCACGTGGTACAAGACGCGAGCTTTGCCTATGCTATGATAAGTATACGCTATTATTATCGTTTAATACTTAGACTTTAACAGTAAACACTCGCCCGCTGCGTTCGACTGCTATGGAAGACTCGACGCTTACTAGAAGCACTTTCAATACTTTACCAGTCGTTCGCCACTCACCAGTTAAATAATCTCTACGCCATTAAATCGACTCCTTACTGTATTATTTTTACAAAATGTACAATTTCTCAAAAGCGCCTCCAACGATAACCAAAGGTGGGCAATGACGGAGTGCATTGGCGTGTTTTATAATAATATATTAAACTATAGTACATAGCAAGTTACATTGCGTTTGTACATGCGGACAAATTCAATAAACTTACGATGTATTATGTAATTTTAACAATTACTCAAGAACAAAAACTTTAGTTAGCTTTTCAAGATTTGATTGAAGAATTTCACCTCAATAGTGTATGATCAATGCTGAGATAGAAATGCACTTATTTTATAAACTATTTAAACTGTGTTTTAGATAAAATGGATAATTGCGTAATAAACCGGCAAGGTCATTAAAGATTCACTGGTTTGTAAAATCATGTGACGGCAAATGCTCCACTCTAATAATAATCCAATCGAAGGATCGATAGTTACATGACTATTCATGTAACTACTGGCTACTGGTACTAGTTTGGATCTATAAGTTACATTACACGCCGATGCTCCTAGTCAGTGCCTTCCTTTATTAATTGTGAGTATGTATGTTTGATATGATTACGTAAGTTTATTGCGACGTAGATAAGTTGTACAATGGATTACAGTAATCTCAATGTTAATAGTGTTTTTAAGGTTTTATTTTTATCTAATATAGACAAGATAGTTTTTGAATATTAATGCATTTTAAATATAAAGTATTATTTATTAAATATGAATATTAGTAAACTTGGTATGAGCTCTTTGTAATTCACTTAAAAAAACAAATAAGCTAAGTTTTGTTTTCATGTCATATTATTTTAGCCACATGACTTACATATTCAAAAGTTTACTGTAATCCATGTACATCATTTAAATTTTAGCTTGCTATTGTCCTTTAAAGAGTGTATACCACACGTTTATAATTATATTTGAATTAAAAAGAAACTACCTATCCGTCCGTGAAATAAAATTCATGTGATCTGTTAGACATATTGTGATACAGTGGTTTGGCACTTAATATTTGTATTTAGCTCAACGACTAATCTACCTATTGTAATTATACTCAAACAATATTACTTTTATACTCGTAGTAGCATACAAGTAGAAGTAGCATACAATGGCATATACGAGTACATATGTATCATCTGTCATCTCACCTCACGGCCAACATTTGCCAAATCAAATAGCGCGCGCTTGCCCGGCTTCCTGTTACACGTTTCCGTCCCTTTTAACGATATCACTCTCACAGAAGGAGAGGAAAGATGTTACACATCAAAAAATGATTAAAAACCCTTTTCTTGTTATATCTCCTATAGTTTCTTTTATACACGCCTCTATAAATATCCAATCAGTAGAAGGGTATCAGTACCTATTGGTGTTTGCTGCTTATTCTAATTGAATTCTCACGGAATCATGGCGACAGCGAATCGCGAAATACGTGCTTAGTTCACTCGATTGACTAGATATTAAAATTAACCTTGTTTGAGTTTAGTATTATAACAGTTTGCGATGAGCTGGACAATAGCAAGCCGTATACTTGTGTACACTTACAGGACTATCCAATATAATATATGTTTTATAAACTTTTAATTAATGTGTCTGACATAACTCTATGTAACATTCACATTTACGTTAGGTATAAACAAGTTAATAGGTAAATATACTTAGTCGCTTACACTTCGAAATTGGATATTTACGTATGAAAGTAGAATGTAAGTACGTGTTGAATGTTCTGAGGCCCTAACTATCAACTTGAATCGATCGACAAATATTATAATGATATGCAAATAATTATTGTTATAGATCGATATGGTGAATACATCTTACGACAGCAGAAGTCGAATTTGAACGACCTATATATTATAGCAACACACTTTCTTAAAATTGTAATAGGCCATTTAAGTTAGTAAAATATTTACAATAAAAATAAGAAACTGTTTACAGTTTCCTTATGATGTTACTCGAAGATTAGGCGAGAGAATCACTAACGACTACAATGGAAAGTCGTCAAAAAAGGAGAAGTCGTGCGTCTCTACCGAGTGTTTGTTCATTCTTTTTAACTCTTACCTTTCTTGTGTCATTAAGCTCTCACGAAAAGATAATGCATCATGGAGTATTCTCCTATAACATGATATTAATTATATCAAACACTTGAAATTACAGCGATGAAAGACACTATCTCAAGGGTTTTACACTGTTTTAAAATGTTTTAAGAAGAAGGGAAAATAATGAAGAATCACCCACCGTTGCCCCGTCCCTTGATTCACATAGGACACGTGTTTGTATCACTTGGCAGTGTATTGATGACCTTAAGTCTATATTCTTAACACATTATAATACTTTAACATGTAAATAGAGAAGTACTACTTCTTTATTTACTCAGTTTTGATTGGTTTACATCCATTTTAAACTAAAAAAAAACATATTATTTCAAATAAATTGTGTTGTTATTAACAAATGTTATTTCGTGTCCGACTAATTTTGGACCCAACGGGGGATGTTTATCAAGGGGCGTTTTTTCGCCTCACAAGTGTACACACGTATTCACGCTGTACAGATCTGAAACTATAGATAAACGGGGACCAGGAGAGGCGGGGCTCGTAGTGTGATAAAAATGCGCCTGCTGCCCGCACCGCTTTCGGTCCCTGTTCTCATCCTACCCCGAAATACACACTTGAATAAACCGTGTGTCCTTGAGATATTTATCAAATTATTATTGTACCATCAGGACTTATTCTTTCGTAATGTTTTAATTGGATGTGTATCATAACTTTAAGCGTACTTTATACGTATAAACTTCAAAGGACCTATAGCGGTACAGTGCGTCATGCGCAAAATTTCTAGTGCTCATTAGGTACTCATTCAATAAAAAAAAGTCATATTAGTCACAAGTAAAAGCTAATAAATGTGGCGTTAGAATAGCTTTAATTACAGTTGTTTATCGATAAGAACATCGACAATAAAGTACGATTAATCAAACATGATAAAACTCAGTTGCCTTTCGAGAGTTTTCGGTTAAAATTTGTAGCAAACAGAATTAATTTCTCATAGTTGATACAAGTAGGAAATATCGATTTACCAGATATTAACTTAATAGCCATGCCTTTGAAAATTATTTGCCACCGCGATTCAACTTTTTGCTACTTTGTCTCACGTTTTATTAATTTCTGCGAGATTCACATGCCAAGAACCCAATTTACTTCAATATGTAGAGACGTGCAACATCTCCTGACGACACAACGTTTTTTACATGACACAGGCACACATAAATTCAGCAAAAAATCTCTCTACGAACAAATATTTTCTTATTTACATCAACCACTATGCAACTATTTAATAAGTTTGCGATTAATTTGAATGACATATATTATGAAATAAATCGAATTAGGTCTCAACATAGGTAAATTTTTCTAAAACAGTTTCAAACGATATCAATATTTTACATTAATTTATCTTTCAATATCTATAACATTAGCTATAATTTATAAGATCTCCAAGTTTCTGATAATCCTCGATTTAAATTTAACAAGATATTAGTTACCTACCTATTTACCGTATGCGTCTGCATCATACAATATGAAAGTGACAACTTAACAGAGAGGAGAAAATATTTCATTAAATCGTCGTGTCCTAACTCGACTACAATCCTGTCTCAAAACAAGATCAAAAGTTCATTTGGTCGGACCAAAACTTCAGTCGGTAAAATTGATCAAAACTGCACCCCTCCGTAGACCTAAAGTCTCCCGAAGACTTTCGTGTATGCGTAAACCCCACACTACAAATGCTACTCGCACCGCACCGAACTGCACATCAGATACACTCACACTCGAACACTAAAACGCCAAACTCTGCAGAAGCTTTCCCGGAGCTCGTCGTAAAGTCTACGAGATAACAGTAAAAAAATTGGTTACTGAAACTGGCTGGGGACAGAAAGCTTCACGCATACGACGGCGTTACGGGGCCGGTATGAACCCGCAGTTGGTGGAAAATGAAGGGTTTATGTAAACATGTATTGCAGTCACGTGCTGAGCACCAGCCGTAGTAGGAGCGGTGCTACCACTGACATCAGTGCGGGGAACATGCGTCCTCCGCGTCCGCATGAAAGTATCTCAATTTCCTAAAGGAAAAACAGAGTTATAATTAGTAAAACTTCATTACTTGTTGTGTTTACTGAATTTATCAGAAATGGATCGATTAACCGTAGTATGGGCAATTTTTTTTACATTGCTTCTCCAGTTATAGCTAGACTTGCTTTATTTTAAGTCTGTTTTGTTAATAATGTAGTATGATGATGTAATGAATGAGCTGCAATAGTTAAACTTAATATAGCCTAGATCAGAGATCGAAACGAAGAAAAATGTGGTTGTTTACCTCAGGATGGTATGAGCCGCAGTGTGAAGGTCGGCGGCGATGATGTCGGGGCGCACGGCGGCACGAGGTTCGAGCACTTGCTTCCCGCGGCCGCACATCCAGGCGCTTGGCTCCACAGGGGCACAGTGTGTCCACCACAAGCAAGATCAAGTTACTATGTGGAATCTTCTGCACACTGAACGGCCTGGTACCAATTGAAATATTCATATGATAAATTGATACACATCTGTGATGCAGTGCTTAAACATTTAAGGCGATCTGCGCAGTTTTGCTCTTCAAAAATTTTGAATACATTTAAGGTAAGGAATTTTGACTGTGACACAAGAATTTGTGGAGAAGTAGTGTTTCACAAATTGATAAATTTTGTGACTTATCTGAAATCTGGATATCATTATCTTAACAATATTACAATACAATCAATATCACGATACATTTTGTACGTATCACATCATTAACATATTTTTAATGTAATGAATTGTTTAATTTAACTTGCATTTTTAAAATATGTATGTGTAAATTGATCGCAGATTTCTTAGTTTATTTTGGTTATTTTTATAATAAAGACATCTCCCGCAATAGTAATATATCCTGTATCGCGTGGGACTTTACAAACATACATGAAACGGACACAAAGAACACCCAGAATCTGACAGAACTACAATTTGTGGATTACACAAGGTGTTCTTCCATGTAGGGATCGAACCCACAACACTTAGCGCAGTAGAAAGGCGTTGCGACCGCTTAAACTTAAACAAATTGACTTGACCGTGGGTATTGTAAATTTGACAACTAACCTTTCGCAGCCTGAATTGTGGCAGTTTGTCAGCTTGCCCTTGAGAGGTTGTGCAGTGTTTAGTCGGGAGGACTGCAACGTGAAGAGTTCAGCGCTGGTATCGCATGGGCGTACAGCCGCTGAACGCGCTGCTTCACGAGGCGGGGGAGGAGGAGCACCACCTCCTGGTGGAGGTGAAGGCCCCGCGTGATTACGCCCTCCATCTCGGGAAGTTTCTCCTAACCCGTCAATGATGATTTCGTAGGTGCCCCTATCTCGATCTAAATCGTCATCGTTTTCCATATCTTCGCTTTCATAGTCTTCGTAATCTGTAATTATAAAAATAATCTTAATCTTAGTCTTGAGCGCGTAACTTTGTGAAAGGTTCTAAAAACGGTAAACAACTGTTAAAGACTTATTTCTGTTTGCCTGTACGTCACAATTTGCTTTAGCTTTTATTTATCTTGCCATTGCTTCAGCTCAAGTACTCGCACGTGATACACATATCGCACATTGCGTAGCATCATTATAGATGGATTTATAGAACTGCCACAAGTCCGACTTTCATCACTAAAATGCAAAGCCTCTTACTCTTGCATTTTAGTGATGAACTGATATTTTTAGCGTGATAAGTATGCATTGAAAGTCGTCCGTATAACTATTTGTTACATCGTTCCCCACATGTTTAAAGTTTTATTTTACTGTACTCGTATATTTGACTAAGAAAAGAAATGCTTACCAACTTCCTCTTCAGCGTAGGACCTCGCACGAGCCACCACAGGCTCCCATAATGGGAACCACATAGCAAGTAAGCTCGTCAGGTATCCACCGAGCCAGGAAAGTGGCTTCAGGGGCTGTATCAAAACGTAATATTAAGATATCGCAAGTATTAAGCAATTTAATTAAAGTACACAGTTTGTTACACATATTTTTAAATACAATTAACGATTTTACGCCTTGTATATTACTGGTTTGTGTAGGTACTTTAAGGCCTCAAAATTAATTGCTGAGGTATCATATAGGCCTGTATTTTAAATACGTTTCAAGTATCGGTTGCACTCTGATTGCCTGAAACTAGTTTTAGGTGCAGATCAAAACTTAAGTATCGATCTTATTATAGAACGCGTTTTAAGTTTTACTCAGTTGAAACTAGTTTCAAGTATTGATTTGAACTTACAGTCTGTTCTCAATCATGTTTTCGCATGAATGACATTATTATTAAGGATTACGAGCTGCGTAATACTATTTAAAAAATAATTTTCTTTTACAAACATAATTTCTGTAAGTTTGTATGTAGTATACTATAGGCTAATCTAGCAATATTAATATATTAAAAAGCTGGTTGTTCGTCCAAAATTAAAAATGATAAATATTAAAATTACGCGTTTTTTTAATTAAATATTATAAAAACGACTAGATATAGGTTATAAGGGAACGTTCAAGTTATTTATCAACACTTGTCATGTTGAATTGTCAAATACGTAATACGGAATAATAATATCCATCACGCGGCAACGTAATTGAGAACAGACTACCTATAAGTTTATATCAATACTTGAAAGTAGTTTTAACTGAGCAAAACTTTAAACGAGTTCTATAATAAGATCGATATTTAAGTTTTGAACACTTAAAACTAGTTTCTGGCAATCAGAGTTCAACCGATACTTGAGACGTCTTTTAAAATACGTTTCTCAGTTTATTAACGCCAAAAGTGTTATGATGACTACTGTTGCTAGACACTACAATCTGAAATTATAATTTTTTTATATATTTTGCAAAAAAGTATTTACCGTAAGTTTATTTCCATCTCCACTGAAAGGATTTCTTGAGTCTGGACACCTCCCTTGATGATCATGCACAACTACTTTTTTATATATTCTGTCTTGCACGAGGGAGTCCATTATAGTACCGTCCACTTGTCCGAAGAATCTGCCAGTTTGGGACACATCCTCTGAGAGGATTATGAAACCATTGTCGTCCAGGATGTAACAGTCTAATTCATCGCCTGCGCATGTCTTCTTGCACACTGTACCGACTGTACACTGTAAAATAATAATTAGGTAATGCTAGCATTCATTATAGCATTTAACAGAGTACGATAGAGACGAAGAAGAGTCAACAGCCTGGAGAAGTGCTTTGTCAAACAAACGACGGATCATTTAATACTGTAGCAACAATTTTTTACTGTGTATATAAATTTATTATCCACATGTTTTATATTTATGTATACAGAAATCTTGCTAATTTAAGTGTATTATTGACTTTGATTACTGTAAACCAAATGTCTTCGCAGTACTCGGAGCATTAGTTATGAAATCGTAGTGAGTGATTGGACGAATATGTTTGTTACTTAAATAAATTTAGAATCAAATTAAAAATATCTTGTTTTCATTCTTGTCTTAAATATTAGCCACCATTGGAATTGTCGCTAAATTAAGAAATATTTAAAGAAGCTTACCGCAGAAGTGACATTTAGGAAATGCCTCGTAAGCGACTCCAGCTGAAAGTACAGTCCAACAACGGCGGCAGGAGCCCTGTGACCCCTCGACTCGACGAACACGGCATGAGTGGCCAGCACAAGGGGCGGACGACCACTTAAGTCTTCAGCCTCTGATCCATCCCGAAAAGGCACCGAGAATACAAAACTCTCGGGCTCTATGGCATGGTGTTCCACAGCGCGACGATACCATTCCGAGTCGAACGCACGAGCATATTTTTCACTAAAGTGACTGCAACCAATGAATTTTTAATGACTGAGATAGTGCAGTAAGTCAATATATAATATATGTAATATCTTTGCAATTCAAATTCTATCTCGTTTCCTTTATAATTGTTCGAAATGTATTATACGTTTCTAGGGTTAGATCTGATCTGAACTCCAAACATCTACCATAACAGTTGACCAAAATGACAGAAGCCGATTTGGTTACCTACTTCCTTGCTTCCAAATAATATAATGATGATTTATAAGATTTACTTGAAAAAGTGTACATTGTGTTACTCGTACTTGGATATCTCTATATCGTGTAGGCGAAAAGCCAGCAAAAAGTAAAGACAGCAAAAGTTTAGTAAAGGCCATAATATTGAATTCTAAATAGTAGAGATCTTCTTTTGGCCATTTGCAATGATATATACATGGGTAGTACTATTACTACATATATTATGATATTTACCATAAGCACGATTAGGCTTCCGTTTTGTTGTCTCTAAGATCCTACATAAGAAAGTGACTATGCGTCATTAATCACCTCCGAAGATGACCACATTCTAAAATGATTAAATAGGTGATAAAATATTTAACTTACGGTTCAGAAGAATCAGCAGTTCTGGATGTGTTCATATTTTCAGTCCATTTTAGAAGACCACTTCGTGTTGCAATGAAGGACATCGTGACCACGAACTTGTGAAAACGACCTTGTCTGTAAAAACAATTACAATTAGTGATTTTATATTGGTTTTACATCTTTCTTTACAGGGGTAAAAAATGATGATGACAGATCGTTATCATGGGTCACAGAAGATGCCCGGATACGTACTGCTATAGGTCCATCTAATAGATGATAAAGTATGCATGTTAATCAGACTATCAAAGACTTTGGATGAAGTTAGGCTGCAGTCTGGCCATATACTAGCTATCACTATCGAGACCACTTTGTGGCGGCGTTTAAGCAGTCGGTTAATGTAAATTATAGGTTATTTGTACTGTTGTAGTTTTTTTATAATGTATAATTAACCCTCGGAGGCCGAGTAGTGTTGTCCGATAACACTGTAGTTTACCGTAACCGCTCAATTATAGGTTTTCTATTATATAAAGAATCAGGGAAAAGGTGACACTTAAACATCTTTGTATAATATTATAACTTTCAATCAAATCAAAGAACTTTAAAGTGAAATAACGGTAGTGAGCAAAATACAAAACGGTCTTAATATCATCATCATCATCAGCTTATCGCAGTCCACGATTGGACATAGGCCTCTCCCAATGCAGACGCAGCAAAGGTTTTAATATAGTAATCATAAACTTTAGGAACTGCTGTCTGAAAGTCTGTTTATGAGTTACATTTCAATTTGATTTATGTAAAATGCCACCATTTCCCTACTATACATATAATAATATAATATATCGATTAGTCAGTTTTATAAAGTTCTGATCAAATAAATGACTACGATTTTTTACATTGCAATGTAAAAAATCGTAGTCATTTAACTAACCAATAGAACCATGCATATTTCAATTGGTTAGTTGTCAAGTACATATCATGCTTGACTACCAGTCAATTGAAGGAACAAAACACTTTTGTTCCAACCATTTATATTAAATAAATGTTATTATCCTTGCTGGCTAAAAATTACACATTTCTTTAACCGTGTTTACCTGATCCATGGGTGCTAAATTTACATAAAATATTACAATTTAAGGCGTGGGGAGTTTGTTATTGCTTACAACATTCTATTATTATTAGTTTCATCTTAAAAATAAACTTCCTGAGATAAATTGCCGCAATAATCAGCTTTTCCGCGTTTAGTAATTGATGGTTTATCATAATTATATGATAGACAACACATACAAAGTCCCCGCGACTTTAAACCAAACATTATATAAGTCCAATACATCATATAAACTTAAAGTGTAATTAGATTGCTTATTTTTGTGTACAAAACACACACACAACTTCCCTCAGTAGCACGATACAAAGCTTTTAAAGACCGACATGTCCGAAAACTTTAGGTTAATCATATTATTCTATAAATTCGGCGTTGTAGCAATATATATTATGGTATAATATACTGTAAATGTTTTTTAATTGCATTAGGAAAGAGGCTTTGTCGTTGGTAGCATATAGTTAAATTTTCTTAGTATGAATGTACCAGAATTATGGAGTCTGCAGCGTATCAACAAGTGTGTGAGTAGTGCTCATAGCATGGGTAAACAAGTCCCATTTCACAAACAAATATTGTAGCATGAGCATGTAGGTACCTACCTAGAATTTTCAGATTTCAATTGTGTTAATACTTTTAATTGTAGTGGCCATTTTCCGATGGGGTACTACAATACTCATGAGTGCCTTAGCGGTAAGTTCTACTATTTAATATATATTGGTAGTTCTACCATTATGAATGTTACGTTACCTTGTCAGTAGTACCATTAAAGTCGCTATCGGGCTATTGGTGTGACAAACACATTCAAATTAATAAAATTTAAATAACATGCAACATTATTATTGTGCAATATTAGAGTGCAATTTTAATTGCTTCAAGTTTCTGAAAACATTAGAGGCGTGGCCATGCTTATTGGAATTGAAATAGACCCCACTAATTTCGGGCAAGACATGGGCTCCTCTTCAAAGGGTGAAGAGACCATCGGGACCATCTTTGGTGCCAGATTCTACATGATGCCGAAATACATACGTATTTACATAATAAATAAATGTAAATGAAACTTACATACTCATACTTTTTATTCTAGCGTCTCTTCTGCTAATCTTTTACAGTTTTCACTAACTTTTAATTTTTTTACCTCAGAACTCTGTTATTAAAGAACCAATTTGAAAAATTCTTCTTTAATTTGGGAGGGTCAACTTTTCGTCTGCCCTCCTAAAATTAAGGAGATTAAGAATAATGAAGGTACAAAGAATATAGTTCATGACGATTCATCATGATATTAATACTTTTTTAAGTTAATTATACTCAGGAAAAATCAATCACTTTTGGAAGCATGTAGTTTATGACCTTGCAATAGAACTTTTATCTGTTGAACCAGTATTTAATTTATCTACCTGTCAAAGGTAGAATTAGCGAAAAATGTCTGAAAAATCAGGAAAAAATCCTATTAGACAATATTTTATTATAATTTTTGTTGCAATCAATTGTTGATATAAAAGAAAAATATCGCTCCAATAGGAATTTTCTGGACCAAAACGCTACTTCTACCTGTCTAACTCCCTTGATTCAGTTTACGCCTGTTTTAGAAATAAACCTCCACGCGTCTAATGTCAACCAGAATAGAATTTAAAAGGCAGTGTTATTATCATGCTTTAATTTAATTGACACTTACTGTGCGTGATGGCTTGCATGTCCTATGTGGGCGTCCAATTCTTTTATTACCATTGCATCCCTAATCAATGACTGTACTAAAGTTTTGTCACCTGAAACCATATACAGTTATTTGTTAGCCTAAGACTTTAAGATTATCAAATTTATCTAAGACTAGCTGGTGCATGCGAATTCGTTCGCGTGGAATTTGAAAAGCGTGGCCACAGTGCGTTCGATTCCCGGACCGGGCAAAATTTTAAAGGGTTTTTCTGAGAGGAAAAATAGCCTGAGTCACTCCTTATATAGACAGCTACCTGGTAGTAAAATATCATCGAAATCGGTCCAGCCGTTTAGAATATTATCCGAAAGAAACAGACAAACAAAATGGAAATTAGTTTTCACTTCAATTTTGTTTATATATTTTATATATCTGTACAAACATATATATAAAACTTAAAGTTAATTTATAATGTGTTCAATATGAATCAAAGGCTGCATATAATTAAAGCGTCACCCAGTCTGTTTTATGTATATGCATATAATACGTACAATAATAAGAATCCCTGTCTTGTTTCTTGTGCGCGTTGTGAAGCGTGAGCGCGCGGGGTCGTAGTGACATCCACTTCCAGCCAGGCCGACCAGCGCGTGACAGGAAATGTAGCAATTGTTCTTCAGGTGAGTTGAAGGTTTGCTCTGATGTGGAGGCGTACTCGCAATATACCCTAGATATATTAGTTTAAATTAAAACCTTGGAAAAGAATAAGCAACACACACACACACACACATAACATTTAATCAAACATTTTCGGCGATAGATAAATAATGAAACTGGTTATATTTTGTGCATACAGTTCCATTGTAGCCAAAATATTGAACGGTCATTTCTTCTGTGTCTGGGTGTAATTTATCTATAATATGTATGTATTTAGAAATATATAAGTATGTTTATCAGCAGTCTGGTTACTATTGTACAGGCTCTGCCGAGTGTGTGAGATGTGTGTTTTTTTTTTTAATTTTATTATATTTTTGCCAAATTATCTAAACAGTTCAAATTTTTATAGATCCGCCTATCCTATGGCGATTTTGTCAAGTGTGCCTATTAGTATTGGAGTCACTGTGTTACAATCCGATTTTGCGGCAAATGTAGCACGGGCGTTTATTGTCGTGCTGCGAAAATTCGTAATATGCTTCTTATCTAACATTGTATCGTTTTAGTAAGTACTGTGCGTATACGTTAGTATCCGTCTGTTACTCGTATATAGAACATAACTCCTTCAACGAGCATGCAGGGCAGCATATATGGTGATCAAGTAAGAGTTGTGTTTAGTTATACTTTTTATTTTGATAAGTATATGCCATTTATGCCAAGTGCCGAGGTCTTGGGTTCGTTTTCCGGGTCGTACCGAATATTTGTATCATCTGCAAGTATTTATTTGGGTTTGGGTGTTTTCTATGTATAATATGTCTGTATTTACAAAAAAAAAGTATATAAGTCAATCAAGATTTCATAGTACAAACTTTGTTTAGTTTGAAACTAGATGGCGTTGTGTGTCAGTTGTCCGAAATATTATTATTATTTAGGTGTCAGATACTGATCTGCTATTCAGTAAATAATATTTTAACTTTCTATTGCGAACTTACCAATCTGGGTGAACTTTCCAATTGTCGCCTTTAAAGAACTCCGTGACTGCAAAAACCAAAGAAATTTCAATGTAAATACGTTATCAAATTTTTATCTGAGTTAGGTAAATGTTGAGGAATGCGTTTACTTTTATAATTTAGATGTAATTAAGATAATTTTCCTTTATTATTAACAAGTAGAATATCTTACCATTGACCGAGCTATGTTTGACCTCTTGCTCCGCCAGCAGCTCGTACATGCCGTATCCGTCTGGCAACACCGCCGCCAAAGAGAAAGGAGTTCCATCGACAGGACTGTAGAAGTAGCGTTGTCTTCTCGTCGCAACTCTTCTCATGTTGTCGTACTGGACTTTAACCGCGATCTCCGTTTCACCCTCACGCTGCTCTATCATATCATGGCGTAGCTTCAAGTGAATAAGAATATTTAGTAACTTTTGTTATTGCGCTACGTATGGAGTATAATACTAAATATGAAAATCAATCTTTATACAGACTGAAAAGTCATGTTATTACTGTAACAAATGTAAATAAATTATGTGTGTAAAGATTTAGAAATTTGGTGACAGTTACTATTGGAGGTTTAATGTGTATCGGAGCATTGACAAGTCTTGCTTTTGTTAACAGACATTTGATTTGATTGTAATCCATCAGAGTATCTGAAGTTAATGTTAAGATAATTCAACTTAAAGCTATTGATTTACTCACATCGAGAAGTAACGACGTGAGATTGACTCGGGAGTTCTCGTCAGAATCAACCAACATCTCCAAATCAGTAAGATCAACGCTTGAGTATAGCGGCCGCAAGGTTTCTGTATACTGTAACATAAAACACATGATAATTTTTAATGGACACTAAACGACGAAATCTGTTCTATTAAAATGGCTACCATTTAGTTCTAAAATAGCCGCCAAAAATTATTATTATTTTATAGTTATTATCGCAAAGTGCCCAGTTAAAGTTAGAATGCACAGCATTAATCAAGAGTGGTCAAATTTTAGTCTATTAAAATTTATGTATAGTATAGTAGACATCGTTGCTTACTAACTTGTAGTTAAAAATAGAGTACTAAAAGTATAAGATACCAGAAAATAATTAGGTTTTGAAACAAAACGAATAACAAGTTCAAGTTCTCGTAATTAATGTTATGTCTGTCTAAAACATGTTCATTGTGCAATGGTATGATTCTCAGATTTGAAATAAATCATAGTACGAACTTACCTCCTCGTTGGTGTGCTAAAACAAAATTATATTTTTTTAGATTTTTTACCATATTACACCAGTGAACCTAAAGAAACAAATCTATATTCATTTCTTTTATATTAGTAATAAAATTTCAAGTAAAGATTAATACTCATTCTCACTACTTGTCTTGATGAAATAAAACTGGCTACTAGAATGTTTGAGGACGTATATTGTCTGGGCTGAATGCAGATGTGAGTAGCCACCACATAATACTATTTATTGAATTCCGTGTAAAATTATTGCAGTAGAAAAAGTAATTAAGGGATATCACAAACCAGTGGCCTCAAGTCTGGGTGATACAAGACATGCCCGTTGTTGTCCACCATGAACGAATAGCCGTTTACACCCAACTGTAATGAAAATATATGTCTATGTAATACGAATATGAGTAAAGTAAAAAAAATGAAAACACTAGTAAAAAACTGTGTAATGTGTGTGTGTGTGTGTGTGTGTGTGTGTGTGTGTGTGTGTGTGTGTGTGTGTGTGTGTGTGTGTGTGTGTGTGTGTGTGTGTGTTATACTATGGAAGATGATGACTCCTATCTGTACAGTTGTCTACAAAAGGCGTTTAAATATTCAAGCTTTCCTATTACGATAGGTAGGTACTCTTCATGATTTTATTACTCAAACTCACTCACTCACTTGGCACTTTATCAGGATTTATTCCTTTTCGTAGTATTATACTAACTTTTAAACTTTCGCGTTCCATGATAATTAATATTACCTGACGTTTCGACCAGGTTGCACCGGCCGGTGCAACCTGGTCGAAACGTCAGGCAAACCAGAGGTATGTAATACCCTAAATAAGAGATCGCGTTAATTCCCGTTAAATAATATTAATTTTCGTAGTATTGTTGAATATTTACAATACAAATTCACCCACAAACTATGAACTGTACAATGATTAAACATTTACAAAGCAACTTTATTTAATTCATAAATTTAATCTCACGTAATTTTAGACCAGTACAATATTCTTTACATTAAACTGTGTTAGATATATGTATATTGAAGAATTTAACATCTTTTTACTTATTACTAAAAATAATCCAGTGTAATACCTTATACGGTGACACGAGTTTCTTTAGTTGATCGACGGGAACATCTGTTCCAACCACACCTAGCAAATTCGCTTCTCTTTGCTGCAAAACAAACGAAATCCATTTCAATATCACTATGCTTTTAGAAGTCTATAAGAAAATCTGTATAAGACAAAAAAGTGAGTGTTCTTTTGTACCGTGTGATTTCTCCTATCGAAAATAGGGACGGTGACAGAAGACATCAGTTGACCCATGCCATCATCGGCCAAGCTGCTACTCTGTAATCGGAAATTTATAATAATTGACAAGAGACAGGGTTTATAGTATTTATATATTGTAGTACTTCACTACTACAAAAGACGAAAGGTAGACGAAACTGCCAGCATATCTTTCTATCTCAATTACTTATAAAAAATCGTTAACTAAAAGTCTTTTACTTTAATCATAGTCTTTTCTACTTTCGTTTCATAGGGAATACAGTATAGAATTTTATGTATGTTATGGCAGAGAGTTGAGAACCGAACTCACAACATTCGACGAAGTAGCATTTGGAGATGCAACACTTAAAACCTGTGCTCCGTTCGTGCCGTCACTAGTGGTCCAGTTGGTTAGCTAAGGAGAGTATCTAATCGTGAATCATCAATCCACTTCTAGTTCAAGTTATTTATAAAGTTGTGCCGTTTATTTTTTCATAAGCTTCTATTTACTGCTTATCTTCGATCAAACAAAAGTTTGCGATCCAGAAAGCAATCATAATCACCATCATAATTTTAACCATAAAACCGTAGAATTCTCTTAGTGACTTTAATCAAGGCTGGTTGGAATCGGCCTGCATCCACCGTTGACCTTTAAAATAAAATAAAGTATAATTGTCACATTTACCCTTCCGCCAACGTAGACTGGACTCCAATGCACCGGGTGGACAGTCTGATACATAACGAGCGGACGTGCTAACACCTCCACGAAGTGCAGCACCTTTGATTTGATTTCCGAGTGCTCGTTGACTGTTACGTAAAAACCTGGACAGATAAATAAGTTTTTTATTTTTATTTGTATTAAGTGGTGAAAAAAGTAAGACTCCTATTTGGGTCCAAGATTTTATTAAAACTAGTTTAGTAAAAAATAGACAAATGGATTACAAGAAGCAATACCCACTTCTGGACTTATTTATTAAACCATCGACACTACGCCCAATCTATTGAACTTTAGGCTTAAATTAAATGAAGCAATCTGCTCCATGATTAGGTAAGTTTCAAAATGTCAAATTATTTTACTGATATTCAAATCACATTTCCATATTCTCATACAATGTTTCAACATTACACGACGATGGAAGTATGTTAATAAAATAGCCGTTCAAGATGTGTTTACAAGAAGAAAGAAAGAAAGAAGAAAGAAAGAAACATTTATTTGCACAGAATACAGGTGGTACCAGATTTAATAAATTGTGGTAAAAAATCAGCAAAATGCTTATTTCTTTTATTTTATTTTTTGCCTATGGTATCATTATTATTTTTAATACCTTTAATTTAATGAAATACTTGTGTGATCATGTCAAATAGCAGACTCTATATTTTTTCCTTATTTTTTCAAGGTTTAAGTTAAAAGAACACACCTTTGTTGGTGCACGCCATATCCTTCATATTGTGACCCGTAGTGGAGTCTCCTCCGACACGATAGGTAAATATGCGCACAGGCATGTGGGGCCAGTTCCATGTCCTGAAGACTCCCTTAACTCCGGTTGCACCACCCCCCGCTCCGATCACAGCGATCGCCTGGTTACATTGACAGCCTTGACCCGTTCGATTATACTGAAATTAATTAAACATTAAATTTAATTATTAGACCATAAAAGGTAATTTATTAATTACTTTGCTTTAATAAGTAGTAGTAGTAGTAGCATAAGGTAAGTTTACACAAGTCAGCTTTAAGACATCTGATTTAAAATACCCATTATATTTTAACATACCCGATGTAGAATCTCAAAAGCCGTTGTTAAAGCTCCGGTAAGGTTTGCCACTCCACCAGATAATTCAGCATTCCATAACGTAGTCTTCAGCTCCCTTATCGTTTCAGGAATTGCCTACGAAGAAAAAAGTTGTTTGTATTTTTTTTTAAAGATAACTCTCGCATTAGGAATATATGTATATCCTGTGTCGCGGGGGACTTTACAAACATACATGAACTGGTCACAATGAACACCCAGAGTCAGAACAACAATTCGTGGAATACACAAAGTGTCGTCCCATGTGGGGTTTGAACCCATAACACTCGGTGCAGTGGGAAGCGGCGTGGCGACTGCTTAAACCACTACGCCATCCGTGCAGTCATTTCATTGCTATTTAATTAGTGCTACAAAATCATGACTCATGATGGCCTGTCTAAGTTTTTTTTTACCTTCCACGGTAATCATAAGGACGAATCCCTGATCTAAAAACAAGAGGAATACAATTTTTTTCTTGACCAATTTTACTGAGAATAAAGTCTATTTGGTCACCTTGCTCCTCATTATAATCACTATAATACACTCGGTTCCAAAAATTACGGGTCAGTCACAAAAATTGAAATACCTCTAGAACTGTAAAAGTTAGATCAATGAAATAAAAAACAGAATAAAGACTTTTTAGTTGCGCTTCTAATAGCATATTATTTAAACTGGTTGATGAACAAAACTATATTAGAAAACTAAATTTAAAAAAATGACTATTTTTAAAAACAAAATTTTTGTTTCATTTCATTATAGATGCTTTCCATTTCTATTCTGTCACAAAAAAATTATCGTGAACGTCTTCCACGTGCATAATTATTATTCTGTGAGGTGAAGCATGGCAGTCACGCTAGAGTAATGTACCAGAATCCTAACTTTTTTGGAACTTGGGCGGAGCCAGCGTGAAACAGCCAGAAACATCGGTGTATCGTTGTCGACTGTTCAGCGGGTAGTCCAGCGGTACTAAGAGACCGGATCACACCTTAGAAGACCAGGAAATGGCAGACCAAGATGCACAACGGCCAGGGAAGACAGACAACTGGTGGCTACAATGCTCCGAAATCGTTTTCAAACTGCTGTTAGTCTAAAAACTCACTTTATTCGCTTTGGAGGTGGCAATTTAAGCGCTCAAACAGTAAGAAGACGTCTTGCTGAAGCAAATTTGAAACCATTGAGGCCCGCAAATGGCCCCAAACTGGAAAGGGGACATCGAATTGCAAGACAGAGATACGTGCGCGAGCACCTAAACGATTGGTCACTGGACACTAGACGATTGGTCTAGAGTAATGCTCACGGACGAGTCTAAATTCATGCTTTATAAGCATGATGGTAGGTAGTTGGTGTACAGAAGACCAGGGGAGCGCTTCCATCAAGCGTGTGTGGAGGAAAAAGTGGCGTACGGTGGAGGCTCCGTACAAGTTTGGGCTGGGATTTCTACTGAGGCCCGCACCGAGCTGGTACTCATTCAAAATGGAACTCTAAATGCATAGAGGTACGTGGAAGAGATCCTCAATGAACATGTAGGTCCTTTCATGGCCAGGATGGACCGGCATGGCATATTAAGGCATGATAATGCGCGTCCCCAGAATTGTACATGACTCTCGAACTCGGTATCGAACTCATGCAGTGGCCAGCGCGAAGCCCGGACTTAAACCCCATCGAGCACGCCTGGGACGAGCTTCAGAGATGCGTGAAAGGTCGAAACCCCACCAATCACGCTTCCCGAGCTCAAACAAGCACTGGTGGAGGAATGGGAAGGTATTCCTCAGCACCGGCTCCGAAATTTGGTGTACAGCATACCTAATCGCCTGGAAGCTGTCAGAAGAGCTCGTGGAGGCAATACAAAGTATTAAATGAAGAAAGTGATGAAAAACAGCAAAAAAACAATCATAAAAAAATGTAATCTTAAGAAAAATATGACTACTTTAGTTTTTTTTAAATTTAGAGATAAGTTAAGAGTTAGAGAGTTTAGATTTAAGTTTTATTTTATTTTTTATCTGTATAATTAAATTCTCAATTGAACAGTCTTCGTTTCATTAGGATGGCATACGTAGTTCGGGAGATATTCGGGTTTATGTGACTGACCCGTTATTTTTGGAACCGAGTTTAGATAGTAATATGATGATGTGATTAGGTAAAAATTAGGATTCCCACATGGGATTGATAATTGATTCAATATTTCGCTACCTACAAGTTCCACATTGAGTCGCGTTCAAATTAGACATTCTAATTCTATACTAGATGTACCCGAAATACCACATAAAGTGTAAAAAAATAAAGAAAAAACATTATTTATATGTATATATATCTGTTGGGCACCCATATCTGTTGGGTAACCCTCGCTACTCGGGTCGCCCGTGAGGGTTCCTGGCCAACGAAAATTTTATCACAATTTGATCAATGATTTTGAAATGCATAAAATATATTTCTTCATCTACAAATTAAAATTGAACCTAATTATTCCACTCATTTTTTAAGGTACTATACTTATCTTCAAGGTTTAATCATAACATTATAACAAATAATTTTTGATCTAATAACAGTAGGTATCTGGTAAATCTAATGAATTTCAAGAAAACCAGTTTACCTTGGTTCAGTTTGTTTCATAAAAGCGGACAAGCTATGTGTAAAAACAAATGAGTTAAAGTTGTAACCGCACACGAAGCCTGCATCAGCTTGCAGTTAACGACCTTGAAAGTTCTAGAAGGCCTATTGTTATGAGTTCCAACCTATCACGGCAAGCGTTTATTGCTTCGCTGTCACAACGTCTAATGAGAATATGTCTAAGTTTTTTACACGCTTTGCGATGTTCAAGAAAGACTCCTACTATTTATATGTTGTTGTAGCGTATAGCTAAATAGTCCCAAGAAAGTACAAAAACGAAAAAATCGTCACGTTAATGGTATTCAGATGAAACGTAATATTTGTGTACTAAAATTACGCAAAAATACAACCATTTTTTTTTTCATTAGGGCATTCTCCTTTTGTCGACCTTCAGTTGATGTAGAAATATAATGCGTCAGGTGCTAGATTAAATAGAAAATTTGTCATTATTTACATTTAATTTAGTAATTTAAGATAAATCTGCTGGATAGCCTTCAACAAAATGCCATTGTAACCAAACTAATTTCTATTTCAATAAACAGGGTAAACCGGAGAGGTAAAAAGTGCTTCCCCTAGTTAAATGAGATCCGCGAATGTGATACTAGATTATAAAAGAATAAATTAAGTAGTAAGCCTATTTTGAATTTCCAAAGATTCAACAAAATATTTGGTTGATTGGAATACTGTCTCATTATTTGCAAAAACTGAAAGATTGAATTAGGAACAGCAATATATGTATACCTTGTGAGATCGATTTCTAAACCACTAAAAATGAGCTCCAACAATGCTATACGGTTACCTATCGAGGCTGAGGTAACTTGCGAAAACCAGTAAGTATATTAACAGATACATAATATACTCGTTTTTAAGATGCCAGCGGCCAAAGAAAATTTACTATATATGATTACAGTATAACACCGGCGTAATACCACTTTCCTTTACCAAGATAAAACGGGATTATTTTTTCTCCGCATGTGGATGCTGCGTAATCCCATACGAAAACGAATCTAAAATTCGTATTTACCGTATTTAATAACTTTACCGATATTGCTAACAAACAGTAAATAAGTAATTAAAAACAAGCAAACATAAAATGTACTACATGTTACGGGTAATAAATACTCTAAAATTTATAAAGTTTTAAAAAGAGAACAGGACATAAAGCTATATTTGATGGAATATAATATATTCGATTAACTTTGGACGTTGCTATTTTGATTTGACCGAAAAATAGAGGTTAACGAATGCAAATGATATAAGTCGCTAGGTAAACAAGTGAGTAAATTGGAAATCGAATATAACGTAAATGTTGATCAGAATTGTGAGATGTTCCAACGAGTGGCTGTAAGTAATGTACAAGTCTCATATCAGAAAGTTGTAAGCTCGAGCGATAAGAGTCGTGCCTTCCCACCTGTCCGGAGCTACTCTCTCTTCGTTATACCGTAGATTTCATCTCGCAACTTACTCAGACTTATGAACTAAATATAGCGAGCACTCGGAGATGATATACTCGTTCATATGCGTCTATCTATAGACACTTCGGGAAATGCAAGGATGTCTTATTATATGAGTTTTGACAGCAATGGACTCTCGTAAGTTTATGTATTGCCACTATGTTCAGTGGAGTGGCTTGGATCTCGATGTGCTTATGTCGTCCAAGCGATTAAGTTCTTTTATGGCTGTCTACATATGTAATAGATTTAATGTGTTTCGGTTTCTTTTTTAACTCTTATTCAGGGAACCTACGTGTCAATACATATAAACAGAAGAGGCTGGGAGGGGCGATTACCAAGAACGTTAAACGACAATGTTAAGCGAGATAGGAAAAAAAATCTGATGATAAATAAAATAAATTTCAATTTACTGTTTAACAATATACAAAAGTTGAACTTATCAAAAAATATTTAAAGGGCAATGCAAATAAAACTTTTAACTAAACTAAATTCTTAAACATGAAGGTATAACGCAAATTTGCTCTAATATCGGTTGTGTCTTTAACCTATTAACGTACAAATTTTGGAGATTGATGGATATCTCTGCACTTGACACACTTAAGATTAAAATTATGTTCATGATGCGGAATTTTTGCTTAAATTGAATCTTAATTGACTTTCAGAATACATATCGGATAAAAAGGTCTTCGAGAACATAACTTATTTGATGTTCCTGAAGTGGAGGTGGTATTCTCGATCAAGGAAACTGTAATTTAAGTGGTAAAAAAATTATAAATTTTAATCAAACTTTTTATTATTATTTAAACCAAGTACAAATAAGTCTGTCATTTGTACCCACATAATTTAGGATATCACTTTTGGAGGGTGTTTTAATAATAAAAACGAATATTTCCCCGATAACCAGTTATATGAAATTAACGAGACCACATTAAAAGAGTTAAAAGTTACAACATTCACAAATTGAATTGCATCTGAGCCTTTACAAAAGTTGAAATAACGTAAAACGTTACGTATCACATATGATTCTGTTTGAAAACTTGTATAATGAGACGATTTCAAGAATCGCTGTCAAGAATTAGCGAGAAGTAAATGCTATTAATACTACTTTGGAGCTTTATATTTAATAATATTTTTGATGCCAATAAGCATTTGCCAAAAAACCTCGCGATAAGTTAGTGACCTTCAGTCAGTCAGTCAGTCAGATAGAAAAGGCATAGAACATCATCCATAATTACAAGTAAAGTGAAACGCTTTCCAAATAAACATAAAAGATATTAAAGCGATCGCAATAACCGGTGGCTTAGTTTACTTAATAGTAGTATTTGTATGCAGTGAAACTAAAATGATCAGATAGGCAATATTAATGGTGGCACATTAAAGTTACTGGATCAAACCCATTACCGTGCGTGCACAGGACAGATGAGTATCGCCGTGGCCTGCCTCGTCGATCAACACGCGATACTTGCATTTGCCACAATACATTAACATCGTCTACAAACAGGCGGATTCTTTTTTTTACAATATAAGTTATTCAGAAATAGTTCTACAATTTTTTGCAGAAGTGTCTCTGTGTAAAAAATTATCGGACAAGTAGCAGTCTGTCTGGTATAGGTGGATTCTCGAGGGACCAGGAGAGGTTTAGAACTCTCCCGGCCCGCCAGGCCCGGGAACGGGCCAGGTACCGCAGACGACTCAGGCGCCGGAAGTCGCAGAACGACCTCCGTCCTCCATAAGCGCAGGCCTGGGGGTGACAGGTCCCGCTCCGCCGTTTCCTTCGCAAGCATAACTTGCTCGCAGAAGGAGATGGCAGAGTTCCACGCACTCTCGCTCCGCACGATAGCCGCAATGGGGCTATCGAGCGAGAGAACTCCCACTCCGATGGCCGCCACGAGGTCTCGCCTCTGCTCAACCCACGCCGGGCACTCTGCCAGCGTGTGGAGAGCCGTGTCCACGGTCTGGCCATCGCAGTGGTGGCACTCAGGCGTTGGCTCCTTGCGGATCAGACACAGGTGATCCCCGAAACATCCTTTCCCAGTGATCACCTGCGTCAGTCGGTATGAGAGGGTCCCGTGACGCCTCTCGAGCCAATCCTACATAACGGGTCTTACCGCCGCGATGACCGCGTGCCCTGCGCTCGGTTGTCCGAGTCGTTCCCTCCACTCCCCTATGATGACCTGGCGGAGTTGGGATTTCCGGTCATCGATTTCTCGAATCTCGGGACCCAACTCCCGCGCCTCCTTGCGCCACTGATACAGAGCCGCAAGGGCTCTCGCCTGCAGGTCCCACGGTGGAGTTCCGGCCAGGAGAGGCCATCTGTCACCCTAGCAGAAGCAGGCCGGGCCGGGCAGGCGGGGGGAAGCGCTCTCGCTTCCAGGGAGCAGAGGGAACATGGGGTTCCCACACGGGGGGGTCGTCTACTTGTTGTAGATAGCCCGAAGTATGTCGGGGCACCAGGGACTTCCTTTCTAGGGTATACCTGGTTCCCCGGCTATTAGTACCCGAGACGGCGTGCGGTTTTAGTCGGTTCGAGTCCGACATGCCACCGATAGGTGGTATCCGAGGGGATTTCCGCACGGGGAAAAAAAAAGAGGTGGATTCTCGAGGTTCCTTGTTTGATTATAATGAGATATATTTACAAAAAAGTATATGTGTATTTATATCAGTTGTCTAGTACCCGTAGTACAAACTCTGTTTAGTTTGCGACTAGACGGCGTTGTGTGGAGGTGGTAGATTATTATTATTAGTTTTCCAAGTGAAAATCTGAAGTTTGCTGTTCTTATAATACTCTGCCACATATGTCATTATTGTCATTATGTACATATGTGCGTCAATTTCAATTTTCAAAGTGTAAAATGTATGTTTTTACTTGGAATAACAAAACCTTTAATGTCATATAACCTATTTAATAAATTAAAGATCTTCTGATTGCGTTCACCTAAACCTTAATATATAATATATTTATAAATCATCAAGAAAGAAGTTTTATGCTCATCAAATAATTTATTAATCAAGTTTAATAAATGATTTGATGGGATGAAAGGATTTATAAATATTTTTTTAATAAATTTGAAGAAAATTTGAGGAATCACCTGTATATCTAACAATTAATAATTTTTATTCGTTTTTCTTTTTAATAATTACACTTTGATTTGTCACCATTAATGAAAGGTAACGTATTTGTGTTCAGCTAATGGAATTTAATGCCCCATATTTTTACTTAGACATCTGAGTAAAAATATTTTACTACTGCATTCTACTTTATATCTTATGTACGATACACACTGATCCCACATTCCCCCCAACTTCAACTAACTCTGGCTGGCCGCTAAATGGGTTGCAGTTGAGTTGCAGGTGCCTGTGCAGCCATAATGACTTCCCCTTAGGTGACCGGTCTGTTTGTATGCCCCGCTATACATTGAAAAAGATTGTAATCAAGGCGTCTGACAGAAAAGTTGCAAACTCAATGTGACTGATGGCGTAATGGTTTAAGCGGTCATGTGTGTGATCCACATATTGTTGTTCGGAGTCTGGGTGTTCTTTGTGTCTGTTTCAAGTATGTTTGTTAAGTCCCCCGCGACACAGGATATATTCCTAGTGCGGGAGTTGTCTTCTAAAAAAGAAATGTAGTTGCGAACTGAAAATTAGAGAGAGTTGCGAAATACGAATAAGCATATTATACTCTTTCCTTGACGTATTAAACTCCACAGCTACATAATTGTCAGTCTGTCACGTGACACGAACAAACGTTTTATTTCCTACCGATTGTCCCCAACCTATTTCCACGGCCGTCACCTTTTTAGGCAATTTTCGTTGTATAATCCTTGACGCGGTGTTATCTTGCCGTGACCCAAATCCTGTATTGTTAATACAAAATCGCGGACAATGTACGCCAGTAGTAATTGACACGCATAAACCGATATTAAAAGCTTTATGCGTGTGTAGGTAGGCAACTCCAACGTTAAATTTACGTGATGAATCAGTACAGGCGTTAAACAATTTGTTCCCCCACATGTTTCATAGCCCTTCTTTTAATTAAACTTATGTCGTCTATGCTATTTAGTAAACACATTTTCGGTTAGGTTTGGCAATAAACAACCATCGACTTTTGAATCTAAGTAATAGACTACTAAAGGAAAGCCAGGAGCAACAAACAAAAACATTATATCTTAAATAACGTACAATAACGTAACAATCCTAACGAGATTCTTTAAATTTAACATAGAAGTATTATTTATTCGTACGAGCAATTACATTTGTATCCCTGTACTTTACACACGGCGGTGAATTATAAAAAGCAGAGCAAACCTTTAAATGAAATGATATGATGAAATGAAATGACATGATATTTATTTCTTCTTGGTCAATCTTTTTTGATATTTTTCGGCATTTCAATGTTAAAGAGAACTATGTGAGTGCTGTATAGGGTCTGGGTTGACCTTTTGAATAAAGGACCATAGTATTGAGTCGACCCGTTCACACAGACGGCATACGAGTCCCAGCCATTGCGTAGCCTAACCGATATAGTTAGGATCAACAACCCGGAATACGACACTACCTGCAGGACACTTGAGTAGGCCGTGGAAACACTTGATTCAAATTAATAAGAAAATTACAATACTATAATATATACAAACCTATATATTTGTGTTATGTACATGTAAGTATGTATAGTTTTGTATACAGATATGATATAAGAAGTTATGTTTTTACAAGCCTTTTGTAATACGCCTACGATTAAGGTACCACGAGCACGATTCCAGACCATCCTAAGGTTGCCTAGAAGAGATTGTTATTGTGGTTGAATCGAATTCTCTTCTAGGCACGAGCAATAACAAGTATAAAAATGACCTTATAACTTCATTTGCTAAAAATAAATATGAAAAATAAAAATTAATAAAAAAAAAAATAACGATACCTTGGGGAAGGACTTGAATTCTGGATGAAAAGGTCATAAGTTCAAAACGTGACCTTTCAAGTTATTGCTAATCTCTATCGAGTGAATAGTATCTACAAAAACTTCTTCCTTAATGATGAAAATTAACTTGGCCGTGTAATTATATTTTTAAACCATCAAAACAATTGAACAGTAAGTATGATGCACGGATAGTGAAGTGGTTTAAGGGGTCGCCACGCCGGGTTCGATCCAAACATAGGACGACACTTTGTGTGATCCACAAATTGTTGTTCTGAGTTTGGGTGTTCTTTGTGTCCATTGCATCTATGTTTGTAAAGTCCCCCGCGACACAGGATATATTCCTAATGCGGGAGTTGTCTTAAAAAAAGAAAGTATATGAAAATGTAAGTATACGCTTTGACTTAACGGATTTATATTCACAAACAAGATCTATAATAATCAGCTTAATTAGGCTAAAAATATTAACGAAATATACTCGTTTTTCTTCATTTTGAAACCAATATTGATATATGTTCATGAAAAATTTATAATGTATCTCAAAGAATATAACTTACTCCAAATTTTGTGTTTTTTACGAGTCTTTAATAAGATATCGCGTTTGTTCATCTTAGAAATCGTGCGTACTAACCTGAGCCAAAACCTTCGTATAACATGTATGAAGCTCTGACACCGTGTCGCTGTAACGGTAGATGTTGACGAAGTCATTAGGTCCAAGGGTGTCGAGTAGCGCAAACACGGTGGACTTCGCCAGCCTCCAGTACGACGAGCTCAAGTCGTCAGAGTCATCAAGAAGTATAACCAAGTCTTTTGGAGAGGTTGCCGCCTCTACGAACCAGTTTGAAGACCTGAAGTCGTAAAAGTCTCGAGCGTGGTGTGAGTAGCCGTCTTCTGGAGGCCAGGACATAGCTAGAGAAGAGTCAATTAACACATCATTAACATTAGAATTCTAAATATAATCGCAAGTTCATTAACGCTCCTGTAAAATTCCAACTTACTGTTTACTAATTTTCTTAAAAAAAAAATTACATATCTAGTTAATAAAAAGAGCAATCATTTTATAACACCGGAAAACACTATTCTATGCAGAATTTTCTACATACATGACTCATCATTTCATGTCAGTTAAAAAGCAATCTCTATAGTAGCCAATTAAACTGTAGTAATTTATTAAAAAATAATACCTGGATATCGTCTCATAAAGCCCGAAGAGGACGCGTAGTATTGCCATGATAGCGTGGGGTCTATCTCGTAGTTGTTTACGAACAGTGGGTCCAAGTGTTCCGACCACGCGATTTGGTTTTGTACTTCACCATCTGTCACAGAACAATCAGAACTTTTTAAACCATCACCAGTAGGCATACACCAATATAATAAACGTGCGTACGGACGTATAAACCGTACACCAATATAATAAACCTAATAAAAGGATTATTGCAACTCTGTCTATCGTGTAGGGGTTTGTCGTAAGTAGTATTTAAACCAATTTATATTTTATAAAAACCTGTACCTGCTAAAGGACAATGGCAGGTCCCCATACATAATTTTATTTGAACTGAAATGTTAGCGTTTAAATATCAAAAAATCCTTAACACTTGAGAATTTATTCTTGACCATTCTCATATCAAAATTACTTGCGAAAGAAGTCTTGGAAAAAAGATATTGGATTTTAAATGTTTTGAGGTTAAGTACTAACATATTGTTAATGTTTTGTTTGAAACTAGATGGCGTTGTGTGTCAGATAGCCGAAAATATTATTTTCATTATTATTACAGTATATGAAATAAAAAAAATAAAAGCATAACATCTATTCGAGTTTAACACTAAATTAAACAAAAATAAAATAACAAACGTGGTGAGTCCGGAACTTGACAGGATCTAAACCACAGATTAAGAGATATGTACTAAATGACGACGTATCGACAATTTGAAAATATCGATGTATGTCTATTTATGTGCCGTTATCAATGACAATGTATTTTTCTCATCACACTGTGTAGTGGAAAATAACGTAACTATATTCTATTTCTTTAGTGTGTTTAAAATCATTTAAAGAGAGTCAAAAATATTTTAAATCATTTCTAATTTTGTTGATTCAGTCACTCTACCGTACAAGTGAAGACGTGGGCAGAAGCAAATTCATAATCATAATAGTGAACCTTCGGTAAATATTTCAGCCAAAGCTATAAAAATCGGTTATCGATAAATTGTTCCATAATATAATATTGCCACCACGCATCCCTAGTCAGTTATACGTGATGGCGAATCTGACATTACGTACTTAGGTCAAATAAAATCTTCAAAAATATCTTATCTTTTATAAGACTTATACAACACATGGTGGTGTAATGATAAATCATAGAAAAATTTTTGATTAAGTTTACTGTGACTCGATTTTTTAAACGCTTAAGTTTTAGGTAAATATGTTTCTGCCATTGTTCTTTAAGTGATGATCTTAGGCCCTATAGCGCTACAAAAAAAAACAATAAATATATATTTCTTCTAGCTTGATATTACTGGTATGATTAAAAAAGGTTAGATAAAAAAAAATTAAGTAATTTTTTTTGTTGAGTGTTGTAATCATTTTTGAGTGCTGAAAATGAAAACCAACTCGACTTCAAGATCAGTTTATAAAATTTAAATAAATTCACATGCTTATGAATAATGGATGAATGCACCAACTTTTGGCTACACAATAGCGGATAATCGCGACAATGTTGGCACTCTGTCCAGCAATTAGGGAAATTTTCTTTAACTACCCATTAAAAGAAGTGTAATTGGCAAACTTGGTTCATTGGGCAGCCGTGATTGCTTTCTCCTGGACCGCCGGCCGGAAAAATTAATGGTCTGCCTGTATACTATGGGTTTGTGAAATAAACGCACCAGGCCCTATGTAATTTCGGCCTTTTAATTTAATACGAACTGGCGCACGATATGTTGGGCTTTCAGGGGCGTGGTCTCAGTTTGGTTTCTGTTCAAGATAGGTAATTTAGGTAGTTGATTACAACTGTCATTTTGTAGAATTCAAATTGTTTAAATTTATTCGTAGCGTTTCGTTTATGTGAATAAAAAACTTTGCCTATACGTAATACGAAAAACAATTTAAAAAAATATGAAATCTATTATAAGAAATCTATCTATTAATCCTGCCGTTATTACACAAGTTTTGTACAGGCTTTTAAAAGCGGTGGTAGTCACTTTCCATCAGACAACCTGTAATCCTGTATCAGCATAAACATACTTATATATTTTAAATAGATACATATTTTAGATAAATTACACCCAGACAGATTAAATGACCATGCTCATCATACAATATTTGTCCTGGGTGGGAATCGAACCCACGACCTCCGGTTTAGAAGTCAGGGTCACTAACCACTATACCAACAGGCCCGTCATCTGCATCGGATCTTTATAAATATGTTCAAAGATTATTCAAAAACTATATTCCTTTCAGGAACATAGTTTTTAATTAAGTCATTACGATGTCATTTTTTTGATGGATTTCATTTGTTCAAGTAAACGCCACTAAATAGTCATACGTCAATTTGTCCATAAATCATTGTTTCTACCCTCTTTCCTTCTGGGTCGTCCCTTCCTCCTCCCCTGTGTCAACAATATATTAGGTTCCATTATTTAAGAAGAGATCGTCGTATTTTTCGCTTGTGTTTTATTATTTTGAGTAAAATATGAAACTGTCTATAAAATTTCGTTATCTTAAAATCAGTTCTGACGTTTGAGCAAGTTGAATTGAGAAAGTTGGAATAAAGTTTTTTTAACCAAATGGGTACATTTTTAGTCTTTAAAAAGAACTTAAGATTATGCTATACCGAATGGAACTGTTGAAATTTAAACACGTTAACAAATTGATTTTGAATTTTGAAGGCACTTTAAGACAAGAACTGATTAGCATCTGTTTCCAAATTATCGAATTATAATGTCTACTAGCTGGTGCGCGTGATTTCGTTCGCGTGGAATTTAAAAAGCACTGTCTTAGTGAGTTCGATTCCCGAACCGGGCAAATGTTTATAGGGTTTTTCTGAGAGTAATTGCGGCGGTAAGACCCGTTATGGAGGATTGGCTCGAGAGGCATCACGGTACCCTCTCATACCACCTGACGCAATTTATCACCGGGACCGGATGCTTCGGCGATCACCTGTGTCTGATCCGCAAGGAGCCAACGCCTGAGTGTAACCACTGGGATGGCCAGACCGTGGACAGGCAGAGTGACCTTGTGGCAGCCATCGAAGTGGGAATTCTCTCGCTTAGTAAAATGGTTACGGCCATGGTATGGAGCAAGCGCGAGTGGGACTATGCCGTCTCCTTCTGTGAGCAAGTCATGCTTGCGAAGAAGACGGCGGAGCGCGACCGGGAGAGATTTTGAACTCTTCCGGTCCACCAGGGAACGGGCTCGGTAACGCTGCGACTCAGGCGCCGGAGGTCGCAGAACGACCTCCATCCTCCATAGGCGCAGGCCTGGGGGTGACGGGTGAGGCCATCTGTCACCCCAGCAGGAACAGGCCGGGATGGGGTGCGCCCTTTAGTTTATAGAATGGGAACACCGTGGTTCCCACACACTAGGGGGAAGTTACATGCCGTAGATGGCCCGGAGTACGTCGGGATTTCAGAGATTTACTTCCTAGGGTACACCTAGTTCCCCGGCTACTGGTGCCTGAGATGGCGTGCTAGTTTTAGTTGGTTAAGTCCGACATAACCACCAGTGGGTGGTATCCGAGGGGAATTCCACACAGAAAAAAAGGGGTTTTCTGAGAAAAAAAATAGCCTAAATTACTCCTTATATAGACAGCTACCTATAATAGTAGTAAAGATTTAACAAAATCGATCATGCCGTTTTGAAGATTACCCGGAACGAACAGGCAGACAGTCAAAAAGTATTTAAATTGGTTTTTAGGTATAGGCATCGTGAAAATAACCGTGTGAGCATGAAAAAATCCTTTTATTTTGGCATTAAAAACAAACACTTCAGTTTTATGAATTTGTTTAGGTTTCAAATAGCAAAAATACAACCTAAAATTCAAGCTCCATGTCTTTAAATATTGTTTTTAACGATAGTGTTTTTAAGCATGCATACATGCAGTAAGTATAATTCTTTAGGAAATTCTATTTATGCCTATATTATTAACACGAAATTGAGGGGTCATACAATTCTTTATTTTTTGCTTTTTAGTAAGCTTTTAAAAACAGCCGTTTCTTTTAGTTTAATTTAAAAAAAAGTGGTCTTAGTATTAATCGACATAAATAGGAGTTTGTTGTTCAAAAGTACTAACCTTCAGTGCTGATGTACGGTGGCATGAGTACAGCGCTGTAGCTGGTATTGACTGCGATGTGATCGAAGTGTCTGCTCGGTGTAAGCATTAGGCGACGGGCTCTAGCTGCTAAAGTACCGTCGTCAGCATGAACGTTAAGCCAGCGCGCATCGTAGTAAGACCCCGGGGCACCGTCACTGCCGCTGCCTGCAGATAACGCTGCTGCCTCCGCGCTGTCCATTATTCTCTGGATTGAAAAAAATGCATATTTCAGATACTAATATTAGACTATACTTTCGTATCTGTATACATACTAATAAAATAAAAGTGAGAAATTTCTTTGGGGATCAATAGAATATCACCAACAATATTAGACCGTAGCCATTAGTACGGTACTCGTACAGATGGTAAGTTAGAAAATATGATTGCCTGGAAGGTAGATGAAGTTATTAGCCTATTTAATATACAAACGAAGGTATGTACTTTACTACAAACATCATGAATGTGTTTCTGTGGCCAAAAACAGATTTAAACATACAAAACACGTATTTGGTACTTAAAAAGTACCGAAAGATCAAACATAAGATAACAACAAACTCCCTTTTAAAATCTGATAACTGTATCACAAAATAAAATAAAACGAGTAACACTTAAAAGTTTTTGTTTTTGTGTCAACATTTCCCTTTTTTATGATTTACAAGGGTGGAAACAGTCCAGTCATCGCTCGAACCCAACGAACACAAAGAACGAACTCATAAAAGAGTTAGACAATTGTCGGCAATTAGCCGTCCTGGAATTGGGCTGATCGATAGCTGCTTTTGTCCTTACTACCGCGGCATTAGAATGCGAACAAAATAATCAGCTTCGCACCCCTACCACAACTTCCGTGCGTTTATTGAACCAGGATGTATTTTCTACGGCATCGATTACCTCACGATTATTTTTGCTTTATGACACGGAGTCGGTTAAAAGTTACAGTCATTCTGCGAAATATTTTATTTAAAACTTTGAAATTCAATATATGAATTTAATAAGGTAGGTACCTGCGAAATAAACTAACGGTAATAAATAAAAGCCAGTTTTGTTTTTGAAAACATACATGCATACACACACACACACACACACAGACACACACACACACACACACACACACACACACACACCCACGTCTCTTTCCGTCCAGGGTAACCAGAAACAATAGAACGTCATTTGCCACGATCCTGTATAGCTGGAGTCTCTGAGGTGGCACTATCAACGCGGCGTCTATTTTCTTTAATTTTAATTGATTGCAGTTTTGTTTGTGACTTTACTATAAAAACAGATGTCTCTCGTTAGACTCGTTATTATATCTCCCCGCAGTAAAATGCATTAAAAAGAAAAGTCTATTGCTTCATTTACCTAAAACGTTTATCGATTACTTTGATTTTCTAATAATATATAGTGCAGAGATAGAATCGTAAAAGAAAGATGTCGCTGATAAGTAAGGGCGTTTTCAGGTCACCTTGTATATTTTTTGGCATCATTTATATAGATTGTGTAATCTAAACGACCCGGAATTGAGAACTTTTGTTGGAGTAGAGTTAATTTCTTTTTTATAAACGTCATTATTTGGACATCTAGGCCATTAGCTCATTGGACGTTTTGTGATATGTTCGTTTGCATAACACGTGGACCATAAACTATTTCTTGAGTTGTATACTTATGGTCTTTGGCTGCATAAAGTAACATGTTGTAACTAGAGGATTCGCGATCCAGGTCATATATTTTTCCCTAAATTTTCAGGATCAAATTTAGTTTCCCGGGATTTTTCAGAATTGATACCACGAGTGGAACTAGCCTCAAAGAGATTCATTTCTTGTTTAATGATTTTATAAAAATAGTTTTTTTTTATATATTTCTGGAGTTCTATATAGTTCTATCTGAAGATTTTCTTTCAATGGTAAAATTTGGAGAACATATAAAAATTTAATGACGATTCCCATTTTCAGTCCCATGCAGGGACTGAAAAAGCGCGTTGAGCAACAATCTACAAATTGAGAAGCATGATTGGAGATAAGACGTTGAATTCGTTGTTATTTCTTAGATTTCATTTACGTGGTTTACATAAGTAATTTATAAAGTTTGTGGTCAATTTAATTTAAAAATGAGTGAGTGATCTCTGAAACATAGTATTTTTTATATTTTACCTAAATAAGTCTGACGAAGTTGATTTCTTGAAAGTTCAATTGTTAGTTTTACAGATTATTTACCTAAGTTTCTAGTTTGTTTATTTTATAAGAAGTTTGAAGTATAATTTTGTTAACCGGTTTTTTGAATATTTAGAACTTAAATATATTGCTAAAAGATACATTAAAACTGATATGACATGGAAACCGACAGTAGACAGACAGACATTGAGTCTTTTTGTTACCACTTTCCACTACCAATACTATCCCGGGGCTATACCAGGATTCCGACATTAACTGTTGATAACCCAGAAATTCTGGGATTAGATAAATAGATCGGGATCGAATCCTCTAGTTGTAACGTGCACGTATATTGCATTTTCGTAAATTATGGCCTGCTGAAGGAGGGATACAAAGACTACCTTTGTATTATAGGTTAATGTGTGCATCTATGTGTCTGTGATGTGACGTCATAGGTTTTACATGTATGCCTAAGACGCTAAACATGTTAAAGTTATGACCATATTCTAACAAGTGTTTCTCAGTATCCAGGTCAGATAATACGCTTAGTTTATTGCATATTCCGTATTACGACTGGGGTCAAACTTACTTTATATAAACGCGGAAAAAATAAAAATTTAAATCATGGCGTCTCCGTATCCAGATATAAAACCGGTAGTTGCAGAACATGGCTCATCACTAACTACTTATTCAGTACTCAGGTTGAAATAAAAAGGTCTGGAGAAAACACAGTTTATAAATGAGAGTTTTAGTTGTGAGATGAAATAGCCCCATCGTGGGAACAAGCTCGTGAAGTGGAGGCGAAATAATTAAAACTTGCACTGAGCAGAGCGCTTCTACCGCCGGCGCACTTGCAACGTCCGACACCCACCGCACACCGCACCAACAACATTTTTATTAAAATTAATCCTTTGGTAATACGGAGAAAATCTTCTAAATATATTTTAGCTTATCTCACTGTGACGTACAATACTCTTTAATAAAGGTATGAAAAAATTGCAAAATTTACATTTTATTTAGACTAAGTCATATTTCGAAATATATTACTACTTTTAATACTTACTTAAAGTACACGTTAGTAGATTTGGGGAATTTAAGGAGAAAATTTAGAGGAATACCAAGCAGTCTGGACACCTGATGGTTAGTGACTACCCCACATTTGCATCTCACGGTCTTTTCTTGAAATATGAAGGTCGTGTCGGTTCGGAAATACTGAAATCGATCATTTGTTCCAAGCATTTTGTTTGAGCAAGGCAAATAGTTTCGTGAAAAGCGCACTGCGGTGGAGTGCCAATTATCCAAGGGATGGAGATGGAAGTTTTGTCGCGTTGAACGATGGCGGAAAGCTGTACTTGGAATAAGTCCTCGGATCCTTTATAAAATAAGCGATAGAGAATGTGGAGCTCCTTTACGTAAGTAAGCTACATTTCTACGCGGCTTCAATAGGTCAAGCCGATCTGAAATATCCTGACAATCAAAGATTCGAGTGGCTCCAGTTGTCCATAGGCTTCTCCCTAGTGATAGGGTGCCCCCGTCCGACCGACCTATTCAACGATGCCCTAAAATAGGAATTCTGGAGTGCAGAAAAAGGTGTCAGATGCGAAAAGTACACCCGGCATAACATTTCTGACCTTGGAATATTTAGTGTTGACAATGTACTTACAAGGTACTTGGGAATTACGTAATTATGGAGGGTGGAGGTATTCCTTGCACGTACTTGCTTGCGTTGTGTTACAACTTTGGAAAATAATCCATGACAGTTTTACACAGCACAATCACTTATTAATAATTTAATTATTTTAAACCGATGAAGCTTTAATTATTGTTTGGCTAAAGGATTTAAATTTTGAAGTAATATCAAATAAAAATTTAAATCAAATTTAAAATTTGAGTACGATCGATATTTTCGATTTTAAATAAGGAATTGCCAAAAAATCGTAATCAATTTTTTTTATACAAACCCTTTTTATAAAAACTCTATGTGTCGTTCTTTTTTCTCCTTTGGTTAACACATTATGGTATGACCGAGATCGACAGGAGAAAATTCCTTTTCGGCACAATATGTCTGGTGTCCGACTAATTGTCAACGTGACACTTTTATCGCTCCGGTCCAATCCGATAGTTTCATTGAGACTGTAGTCCAGTCTGTAGCTCCTGATTAAGAAAGCGCTTACGTTATGACTCGACAATCGTGAGGTGTCTTTCACGAAAAGTATCTAGATATGTATACTATATGAACGTATATTATTGCAATAAAATAGGAACGAAGTGGTGCTACATCTATTGCTCATTGTGTTTCATAATATAAAAAGACCTTTTTAATAATATATAAATGAATATATTTGTAAAGTAGCAATAGGATATTACTTTCTAGAGATAATTTATTAACATATTCACCTGGTTTGCTGACAACTCAAGATCCATAATGACACAAAAAACATCTATTAAAAAAAAGGTAGTTTAATAATGAGATGACACTCCATATATTTTATCGGTGCTATTAAGAGCCATTCTGAGGAGGCGACATTCTTGCTACAATGCTTAGTTTAGCCCGTAAATACATTTCTTTATTTTGTTTCAGCTACAGTTTCATTAAGTGCGAAATGTAGGCGTCGTTTTTTCAGAGCGCGACGCCCGCAGCGCAGCAATCCCCTCGATTTTTCAACTTTATTGTTAGCCAAATTCTGCCACTTTTGGCTCACTATTGCCGAGTCCTATTCTTAACTTATTATGCGAACTATTGTGTTTGTGAGCTCCTTGCGTAGACAATACAAATAGACTCTTTGAAATATTTCTGCTGCAAAATTTATTCGATTAAAACGATACTGAGAGGATATTAATAGAGGTTTAAATTATATATTCATTATTTTTATATACTATTATTTTAACTACAAAGCAGGCAAGTTGTTGTAGGTTTTTGTCCATAAATATTTCCAACCTCTTAATTCGATGCTACTCGATAAAATGGCACCGATCGCTCCTAACCATCTTAACTAGTGCTGTTCATTGGTGAACAGAATAATTAAAAGATGTCGTCAGACAGATATAGAGATGG